TTTGATAGGCCATGGCTTAAACAAGCAATGTCCTTGACGACACCTCGTAAAAATAGGGCCATCAATCTCTAATGTAATTGCTAGAATGATTCTACTTCATACATTGCTATGTTAAATGAGCTTTCTCCTATGCGTATTGTTACCAGCAATATCCGCAGTCCCTAATCATCCGTTTTGTCAGCCGTTGTTTTTTAGCCCAGTATGGAGCTTAATTGCTTGCTAGCCCTCTCTCTGTCGACGTAACTATTCTTGGGATTGCGAGCTGCACTATTTGAGGCGCCAGACTTGGTCTCTAGTTATGTGTAGGCGTGCTACTAACAACTTTAAACATATAATTTCAGCCGAATTATCCTCGCATGCATCACTGGCCTCCTGCCTATCGCGTCTTTGATCAAAGCTTTCTTGCATCCTTTCTCTTAGGAAGTTAGGAAAATGAAGTGTATTGCGTAATATATACAGCATCTAAACTGGCTGAGGCCACGTGCTTGGTTTTCTTTATCCATGGCCGCGATAACAGTATCAAATATTATGTCATAAATTGGAATCTGAAAAGAGTATGATAAATTACTGTCAACCGAAATTACCACTAAAGCTCCACTATCAGCCACCACCCTACTCCATTTAGAATAGCGCCTCGATTACTACTTTAGGCCATGATTATCATATATCATCATCCTGTATCATTATGATACCGCATGATTTAGTGATCATCTCAAAGCCTATATATATCAATCATTTTACCACTAGATCAGGAATCAGACCTCATCAATTGATCATTTGCACTCATTAGGATTCAGCGGTAGATTACTAGGTAATACAGAATCCCGCATTTCCAATAATTACCTAGACTCTTCAGAGCTTGCTTTATATGTATCGAAAAGCAATTAGAAGAAAAATGTTGTCCTCACTATTACTTACCTTGCCTGTTATATCACGCTGACGGAGCAACCTGTACGGAAAGGCAAATGACGCTGATATCTTTATCACTTTGAATTGTGCTGATTTTGTAACTGCTTCCTTCCCCAGTTGCTATAAAAACTAATGGCAGCTACATACATAATATCATGCTACTTTACAGGATGAAGTAAACCTTAAGTTGTAGAAGTTCTATAATTGCTGCAGGATGTTCGTCGAGGAATATTTGTAGAAACTATTTCGCCGATCCCAGACATGACTGTATTGACGATCGATCACTAGTTTTACTTATTGTGCCAGCCAGCCAATATGAATTTCGTTATCATGGGAACCTTACAATGCATTAAGTTCGCCGTGCCTACCTAGAGACCAGAATGTGCGAATTAAATACGGGGGGAAATGTATGAAAAGTTTGTTACGGTAAGTTACTCAATGAAGCGGGTATCCGCACCGAAAAACTGTTTTCGACTAAGCATGTCTGTTGTTAAATGAAGGCTTATGCTCCTAAAAAGAATAAATCTCTAGGTGCCTTGCTCGACCTTCTCAACAGAAGGCTATATCTCGTAAACTCATTATCGCACGCCCGCTCAAATAGTCAGACTGTGAACAAGTAATAATTTTATGGGCGATAAAAGTTTCTTTTCCACTGACAATAGTAAGGCCACTGTACTAGAGAACCAAGAACAAGCTCTCGTGTGACAATCAGTAAGCCTTGTATATAAGGTAGTTCGTGCTAGATTCTTTCAGACCGGATTCTGTAATTGCCCGGCAGCGTCAATATCCTTCTAGCAAGGTCCAAGCGGGCGCAGTGTTGGCAAATTTGCCAGTTTTATGTCTTCGAGTAATTGAGGATAGAGAAAGGGTAGCTCTGGCTTTCGCTCGGGTTACAGGCCCTTCACAGGTGGATGAAGTCTGATGGGGATCTTTGGCGAGCAATGTACCTTGAACACCGCCTTTGAGGGAACAATCAGATGATTCATCTCTTGAACCTAGGTCAGGAGTGCTTGAATGTACATCCCCGCGAGCTGCGGTATTCGCAGGTGTTGTGTCTGTAGTGGCCCCGGATCCTTCGTGTCCATTTCAATAACTGTCTACATAGAGGGCATCAAACTGGACAATGGTCAGGTCATCAGTCAGTTCTTCGTGAGCGATGCCCACATCTCTATCAATATAGGCAGCCGGTCCGGACGCTTTATATGTCCTGCCGATGGGAGGCGGGGTACCGTTCCCCGGCCAAAGTGGATCAAGGATTCTGGGATTAATAATCTCTCAGTTCAAAACCAGGTGTTATATAAAGAGAACTTAAAGAAGAAGTGGGGGCTGAAATGTTAGCTATACCGCTCTCGTCGCTAATCAGGCTGCCTGGTGCATTACTGCTGGAGTAGGAAGAAGGGTATGGATATTCACAGAAGGTGAAAATTGCCGGCTTTAAGACCGAGGCACGCGTCTGGGTTGATATAGGCAACTCATGAGAATCAGCTGCCTGCAGATGTTGATTTGGGGGTTAATAGTGTTGAAGTTGGATTTTCTTTGGCTTTAGTTCTTGGGCTTTCTTCTCTACACCGGCTACTTCTATTTTGGTATCTCTTTTTCTTTTTGAAGTTGACTTCCCAGGCTCCCGAATTCTATCAGCTAGACCGTGTATATCATGTAGATGGTACCGGAAGTCCCGCTCCAATGTAAATAACAGTGAGCAGCCATATATAGAGTCAGTTGTTGGCCATTCGGCCTCCTCAAGGGGTTGTTCAGCATGCCTCCTCAGGTTCGCACTATACAGCCAATTTTTTAATCTTTCATTGACTGGGAGTCCTTGATTCCAAAGGCAGCAAGGGCAGTAGCCGGAGCGAATAACAGTATAACAATAGATAACAACTTTATAATAGCGATTGGCCCATGATTGTAGGTAGTAACCGCAATGGTCATGCTATTCCGCCTGTGGATACCAAGTCATATACTTATAATAGTATTGCAAATCTGATTTGCTTATAAGCAGGCGTTGTGCTATCTCTTGATAAGTACAGTCATAAATATAGAGACTTCTCTTGCTCTTTTCTAATCTGTAATTGTCAGAATTTTACTGAGAAATATGATTAAATTTACTCACTTCTGAATATCCTCCCGGCAATTATCTACAGAACATTGTCCGTTGTCGGCCGGAGCTTTATTGAGGAAAGAGATCATATCATAATTATAACAGCACTGTGTCAACAACTACTCACCAAAAAGAAGTCTTTGGTTAAGGAGAGTAACTCAACAGATAACAGAGTTACTGCTAAAAAACCTAATTTAGGCATGATAAGAGCTAATGCCCGCGTGCATATATTCTTTCTCTGATTTTCCAGGTTATTTCTTTCTCTGTTAATGATTCGCTAATCTTTTCTTTCTTGGAATCACTGAGACTGGAAGTTTTATATGTTAGAGAGCTAAATGCGGGTGTGTATCTTCCTGTGTTCAGTTTTCTCAGACTCTGCAGCTACTATGTCTACTTTTTTTATAAGCTCTTGGATACAGTTTCTAGCTTTAATAAGCTCAGGCCTTCTTAAAATAGCCTCTTTGTTCTTAGCAGGTAGCCCAGAGGATAATCTAATTTTTCTGAATTGTCTATAACCCTGGAAGTATACTATGTGATAGGTCTCTTCCTTATCATTCAGGATCCCACTGACCGTATTGATTGATGAACAGTGCGCCTGATAGTATTCTGGGTAGGTTGACTCAGAATAATAAGCGTATATTTGGGATACAGGTATAGAGCTATATCTTGCTATAGGGAGTTTTCAGTAAACATTTTCTTAGCAGGACATATTAAAATTATAGTCCACCTTCAATTTTCTTGCCTAGCTCCCGATGGATATCATGGACTGTAGCATTTCTGGAGTAGCCAGCTGCGATAAGGACCAAACAGAAGAAGTAGCAAAATCTCTCTTAGTTAAGTGATACCTCCTGTAGGCCCTTGGCAGTGACATTTCTAAATACCAGTAAATAAAATCTTTAATAATAACAATATCCGGAGCTGGACAGCCAGACTTAAGCTGGTAGCCAACTGTGTATTAACTTACTCTAAATAGAGAGTTATATATTTATGATATATATTTTTTACTTTATCAGTATAATTTTATTTCTTTTATTTAGTATCTTTCTCTTAATAAGCTCTTGAAAAATAGCTATTTACTTTGTAATACTTACAATACTTTCTCTTTATCTCTTTCTCTTTAAAATGGTTCCTTTTACCCATTAGCTTGTCAGTGAACAAGGGAAAAGTAAATATGGTAAATCTAAGAGATCTCAGATAATTAAAAGAAGTAAAAGTAGTCATTCTAGTAAAATCAAGAAATAAATATAAAATAAGTTCTTATGCTTCTCTGTATTGAATTCAAGGTTCTTAAAGTAAGGAAATTACATGCCTTTATATAGCTTTGTCAGAGTCCATTTCCTAATCTGATTATGATTACTCTCAGTGTTTACACTTCTCTTTAGAAGTTTGCCACTGGGGGTTAAATTAATCCCATCTAGATTCTAACTGCGTCATCTTGTATAACAAGTATTGGTACAGACTCGGGCAAAACTTGAGGGCTGTTCATCTGATAGTTATCAAACCTACCCACACTGAATAAAGGGCCAGTAAGCAAACTCAGTACACCATATGACTACTCACTGAGCAGGCCCTGAGCGCTCACTGAACGGTGATCTGTGACCAGGAGTATTTACTGAGCAAGGCCCTGAGTACCCTCACTAAAGCGGCGGCGTTCAAAACAGGAAATCTACGATATTGTAGAAAATCCGGTACGTATAGGTACATATATATAAAGGCTATCCTTCCCCTTCTTTATCTGAAGCAAGCCCGTTCATTCCAAAAAGTTTTTTGATCTCTTATCACAAGCGTTAATGAGTAGTTATCTTACGTTTTCCATAATGAATATTTCCTGATAGATAAGGAGTGGCTGGAGCTTTAACAATCATAGGAAGTCCGATTGCCGTGAAGACACTAAGGTATCCCCGAGAGGAGAGAGCGGATTTATACAGCCCGCAACATGAGAACCTATTGGCCTTTGCCCTGAGCCCAGTGAACTGGCAAATGTATATCACAGGTTACAGATACGGGAGCACTCTTATCCAGCTCAGGAAAGCGCAAAATGTGTGGGCCTGATCTTCTTGAAGATCTTGTAATTTTGACCACGGAAATCATATTCCATTAGGGTTATCAAGCAATTCAGGACCATTTCTTTTCAACATCTTCTCCGCTTCGATCAACGTGATCTGCCAATCTTTGTGCGCACTAGGGGTTGCCACGGTTTTGTCCGAGGGTTTTGACTCGGCCGTTTATTTTGAGACCTTGCATCAAGACCTCTCGCTCGCTTTTGCCATTGTTATGGTTGATGCAATCCAAGGACACAACTTCTACAGCTGAAAGCGACTGGTCACTGCGAAATCGTTCCGGACATATACTAAGAGGGTCTCCCATTTGGTTTTTCTTGCTCGATAGAAACAGTAAATAACTCCTCCTCTTAAGTTTTAGGTTCTACATGTAAGCGATATTCAGCACAGTCCGGATCGTTTCGATCGTATTCATGGTGGCGACGACTTTTGGCCGAGATATCGAGCAATAATGAAGAAAACACCAGGTATTGCAGGCCCGACAAGTGCACGCCGGTTAGAGAAGAGACTGTTTTGTTGGATCGAGAAGGAAAGCAGCGAAACACACAATCCATAAGAAAAGGAGAAATCTCGGTTTACAGATCTTCCTTACCGGAGTGCCACAAGAAGGCCAAACTAGTATTCTTACAGCGCCAGCGCTATATCTCCTACCAGGCGGTGGATTTGAGGGAACGGCAGAACTCTCTCCGCTTCTTCTAGTATTTCGAGTTAACACTCGTTACCTACCATCTTATCTCTCTTCTTCTTTTCCCTCTCCATTATATTCTTATCTGAATAAACGATACTATGCACTTCACATACCTCACATAGGCACTTCCGCATCTACTATGAGTACTACTACCGATTGTTAAGCTGTTGTATGTACAACCCTGCCCCAGTGCAGCCCCACCCACTCAGCGCCCTCCACCAACTCCGATTCGCGACTAACCTCGGCTTCAAGTCAAATCCTGTACACCTGCGTATACACCCACTCACCCACACAAACACACACACATAGAGAGAGAGAGACAGGACACTACATGCCTTGATTTTAGTGGACAGGGACACATCAATCGGGAAAGAGAAAGAAAAGAAAAGTGAGAATTCTGGACATCTTGTACCGTAGCGATGCCAGGGAGTGGGTCGTCCGCAAGACTCTGTGCGGACTACGTTCCAGTCACGCTGAGGTCTCGGAGGCCATTGGTGCTGCCTCATGGTATTAGACCGCCCTATCCTGTCAAAGAATCCAAGAGGAGTGTACATCGGCGATATGTCAATGCGAACCGGTCCCGGATACCCTTCCCGTCAGCCGTCCGGATAACCGATAGGTGGAATGTCCAGAGACGTCAATCGGCTCCGGATGGGCGACGGTACGCGACAGCGGTAGGCTCAAATCACGTCGCAGCTGAGCCGCAGGGGGGCCCGTTAAAGGAATATGATTCAAGGGTACAACAGGGTCGGTTACGGGATGACTCTTATCAGAGACGTACGTCCCTCACTCTTCTTTGACTGATCACCGGAGTGTGGTCAATGCTGATGATGGTTCCGTGACGAACAGAGATTATTGAGAGACTGCAAGACCTTTATGAAAGGCTGCGAACCTACTGCCCTCCTGCCGTGATCCACCCGAATCCCGAGTCGTTGGATCCTCAGCCGAAGACGTCGTTCCTTGGTTCTTTGTTCGGGCGCAGCAAGGCGAAGGAAGAGTTAACCATCCCCGAGAGCCTCCCAAAGGGCCTGTATATGTATGGAGATGTCGGGTGTGGGAAAACCATGCTCATGGATCTGTTCTATGACACCCTGCCGTCGAATATCTCGTCCAAGTCTCGGATCCATTTCCACAACTTCATGCAGGATGTACATAAGCGCGTGCATGTGGTCAAGATGCGGTACGGCAATGATTTTGATGCACTGCCCTTAGTAGCCGCGGATATCGCCGAGAACTCGAGCGTGCTGTGTTTCGACGAGTTCCAGTGTACAGATGTTGCCGATGCTATGATTCTGAGGCGCCTTCTTGAATCCCTCATGTCCCATGGGGTCGTGCTCGTCACCACCTCCAACCGGCACCCCGACGACCTGTACAAAAACGGCATCCAGCGGGAATCTTTCATCCCATGCATCAACCTTCTGAAAACCGCTCTGGACGTGATCAACTTGGACTCCCCCACCGACTACCGCAAGATCCCTCGTCCCACTTCCGGTGTCTACCATCACCCCTTAGGCCCGGATGCTAACCAGCATGCCCAGAAATGGTTCGAGTTCCTCGGCGACCCGAAGGATCCCCCCCACCCAGCAACGCAAGAGGTCTGGGGCCGCAAGATCGAGGTGCCCCTGGCCAGCGGTAGGGCCGCTCAGTTCAGCTTCCAGCAATTGATTGGTAGAGCGACAGGAGCAGCAGACTATCTAGAGCTAGTCCGGAACTACGATGCGTTCATCATCACCGATGTCCCGGGGATGACGTTGAATCAGCGTGACCTCGCGCGTCGATTCATTACTTTCATTGATGCCGTCTACGAAAGCAGAGTAAGCGCCCACCCAGCACGTGTAGAAAAGAAAAGAAAAGAATGCGGAAGCTTTGAGACTGAACACCCTACAGGCCAAACTAGTCCTTACGACCGAAGTGCCCTTGACCAATCTCTTCCTCTCCGAGGCGGAAGTGAAGAGCTCTCTGGGGGAAGGGGAAGGCAGTGATCTCTCCGATGCGATGCGAATGATGATGGATGACCTTGGCCTCTCCATGACAGCGCTGAAGTCCACCTCCATCTTCAGCGGCGATGAGGAGCGGTTTGCGTTTGCCCGTGCGCTCTCCCGTCTCTCCGAGATGGGCAGCAAACAATGGGTGGAGCGGGGATTAGGAGTTGGGATGGATGTTGAACAGGGCAAAAGCGAACACGACGCATGGATGAAAGCGAGAAGTCATTGGAGCGAGGATAATATGTGAGGATTGATTCCACATGAGTCTCCATTTTTTTTGTTGCATTAGACCGGTGTTGTTCTATACCATTTCCTTTTCTTTTTAGATTTCGTTCCCCTGGTGCATGGGATATACATATGTTGATCATCTAGATGCATAGCCTCTGCGTTTGATATGGACATATCCTGTATCCTGAATCATCTATATTCCTTTCTATGATTATTAGTCTCTCCAGCTTCCTCCTAACTATCCACCAAGGTCGTCAGGAATTGATCTCTGACCGGACTCTTTATTCTCCGCAAATCCCTCCAGTCCGATGGCGAATCCAGGCAATCAGCGAATCCTCAATGACGAGATGGCAAGGGCGATGCGTGGTCACTGAGTCACTGAGTGACGATTGAGTGTTCTGAGTCGTGAACGAGTAGATGGTATCAGGGGCAAATCAAGTTGTACGACTGACTGACAACCCTGCAGGCTTCGGGTTAAATTGCTATCATGGATTTCTATTTTGGGAGCTCATCCTCTCACTACTAGTATGGGGAATTCCTTTGGTGAAATTGTCCGATGCGGGTCATATTCCACCTCATGTCAATGTCAGTGAATGCTCTGCTTATTACAATTGTTGACTTAACAGTCACAGATCCAAGTGTCCAGTATTCTTCGTCCCTGCAACCCTTCACCTTTTCTTTCTCGTATCCCCAACATAAACCCCCCATTCCAGTCCCATCCCACGGAAAGATCCACGCAAGGGGTGGGAAGAGAGGTCTGAACAAATTCCCCGAAGCTTCTCAGTCCCGATTGGAATAAATCGAATTCCTTGATTCGATTCGAATGTTCCCGGAGTCTCATTTGCAACATTCAAACCCCCAGAAAATGGGCCTCAAAATAACGCGCTCCCAGCGCTTGTCTGCAGTCATCGGGATTTCCTCGATTTTCTTCGTGGCTGAGATTTCCAGTAATCATTTTTTTCTTTTTTTTTTCCCTTTTTTCCTTTCCTGTCTTCTGTTTCTCATCCCATGTGGCGCTCCCTTTTGTGTTATCCCTCGTTGGCGCGCATGATCGATAGTTACTAAAATTGTCTCACAGTTGGTTTTTACACGCATTCCTTGGCCTTGGTCGCCGATGCCTTCCATTATGTACGGATCTGTTCCTACGTATTGACGGCGCCGTCGCTTGGCTAACCAGCCTGTAGTTGAACGACTTGATCGGTTTCGTGGTAGCCTTGGTTGCTCTCAGGGTAGGCTCCCTCTTTCTTCCGGAGCACTACACAGACAACTGACTAGACATTTTAGGTGTCCGAGACGGACGATGCGCCCAAATCCTTATCCTTCGGATGGCAACGAGCCCAGCTACTAGGCGCTTTCTTCAATGGCGCACTCCTTTTCGCCCTGGGTATCAGCGTTTTCTTACAATCGATCGAACGCTTTATCTCGTTGCAGTGTGGGTCAAACCCTTTGTCGAGATGGAAAATGTCGCCACTAATCTGGAATAGATGTGGAGAATCCAAAGCTTATGTTCATCATGGGTGCCGTGGGCTTGGGTCTGAATCTGATCAGTGCTGTGTTCCTCCATGGTGCGCCTGGCCTCCAATGTTCAATATGATACTGGACTGACAGATGGGCAGAGCATGACCACGGGCACAGTCATCACGGACACTCGGCAGTACCTCTACCCGCTATCCCACCGATTGCCGACGAGGCGGATATCTCCGAGGTTCGTTCGTGGAAATATCATACCGTAGTTTCCGAGAGGTACTGACGATCACCCAATCATGCAGCATCGGTACCACAAACACCAACTGCACACCAGTCAACCGATCCCCACCCGATACGACCTAGGCATGCTGGGGATCTTACTTCATGTGGTCAGCGATGCGGCCAATAACCTAGGTGTCATGACTGCGGCCTTGGTGATCTGGCTGACTCATTACGAGGGCCGGTACTATGCTGATCCCGGCACGAGTATGGGGATTGCGATGATGATCATCCTGACTTCACTTCCTCTCGGTATTCACCTTCATTCTAGGACAGCATTGTCATGACTCGGCTAAGATGTGGATAGTGCGACGCTCTGGTCTGATTCTGTTGGAGAGTGCTCCGAACGATGTTGATCCGGCGGACGTGAAACATGATCTTGAAAGGGTACGTCTGCTTGACGGTCAGGGCTCGGAAGAGCCGTGTATTTCCACCCCTCTCGGTGGGATTAGTCTTGAGATTGATCAACGTGTATAGATTCCTGGCGTCCTCGCCATCCACGAGCTTCACATCTGGCGCCTGAATCAAAGCAAGACTCTGGCATCGGTTCACATCGTGGTATCCGATCCGTCCGTGGCAAATTTTGCGAAGACAACCAAGACTATCAACGAGTGCTTCCATGCTTACGGCATCCATTCGGCGACCCTTCAACCGGAAACCTCACCCCTAGCGGAGGTCATCAGTATGGGGTATCCACCCGGGGGGATCACGCAGGAACTACGCGAGAGATCACTGGAGAAATGCCAAGTGACATGCGGGACATTGTGTGAGGAGTTTACTTGCTGTGGATAGCTTTTCTTTTCTTTTCTTTTCTTTTTGTTGTTGATTTCTGAAGTTCTCTTGTAGAGTTAGTAAGGGTGCCAGTGCAGTGATCTCGCTGCCTCAGGCTGCCAGTCTTGTCGAATCAAATCAGATGACCCGCTTCCTCTCCGCCTTCCTCATCCATTCCAACTTCTCCGCATTTATTGATCACATCAAGTAACGATCCGATCATCATTCAAGTCTGCCTGTAATGTGAACATATTCGTGTGTGTGTCTTTTTTTACTCTGATGGTTTTTGTGACCATGGTCTACCTTATCCCAGTGTCGAACCTTGGAACGATCCGATATTCTAGATCGTTATCGGGGAGCCCATCTCAAGCTCCACATCGGATCTCCTCCCACATCCTAAAGTGCTCCACCCAAAGCCGAGACCTATGGGGATATAGTCACCAGCGATACGGCAATACGGATAGCCACACTCGAATTCGGATAAACAAACATCGCCGCCTTTGTCGAGTGAATCTAGGGGCCAGAGCAGCTGTCCATCCACGACAAGCGCAAACGCAGGTATCATGGGGTCATCAGCACCACGACCGTCACCCGGGGTGGAATATTGGATGGGGCTGGACTGGGTCCAAGCTCAGCTTTCCAGGGATTTCTCAGAGTTCGTTACAGCCTCGGATGGACTTCTGGAAGTCTGAGAGCTCCCGAATTAGGCAGATTAAGAAAGAGATCACCGTCGATCCTTACGCAGCTCTATTCGGGAGAAGACTTGAACCTCTTGGCTTTCCGAACTTCGTCGAGGGTCGAGTCATGTCATTGTGTCGGTCAGTTTTCGGCCTCGATAAAGCGCCCACGGTTGACAAAACCTCCCATATAACGCAGACCCGGGGTGTGGAGGACCATGAATATGACCCTATCAGTGGTCGTATGGTTCCTAGGAAATTACCCGAGAAGACCACCGGTTGTTCAGACAGATCTTTGAAAACGCCCGCCGAGAGTTGCACGCGGCATGATGAATGGACTGGCTATCTCTCTGGTGTCGATCGGTCAGAAACACATTCAAGCGAGAATGCACCCACATACCAAGACTCAGAGTCGGTCAAGAAGGTCCAGGTAGCTCCGCCAGACATTCCAGAACTGGCCAAAAAAGAGACATTCGGAACAACCCCCAGCGAAATCTCTCAGCGTCAGGATACTACCCGACTCATTAAGTCAGATGTGGATATTCATGGAAACGATATCAAAGAGCAACTTGATCCGGGCCGGGAAGCAAATGCTGACGTATCCGACGAGAGAAGCCTCTCCAAATCACCAAGCTTCTTAGAAAGCAATCATAAACCCGCAAGTTACACTGGCATGGATTCAGCGCAGCAACAGGAGCTTCTGGCAAGAGAGGAGGCAGAGGATCTGGACCTCTTGCGACCTAGCGATATCCGTTTGTTATATAACGCAAAAAATTTGAAGCGAGAGTCCGTGGAGCCGTGCGAGACACCTAAAGACTTGGATGCTGCATTCGATTCATTAGACCCGGGCAGAGATGCCAATTCTCAAGGCGCAAGAGAGGGGTTCCAGCAACATGCGGCCGTAAAGTCCGGAAACAGAACGACAAACGAGCCTGCAGCGCTAGAAAGCACGAAGCAAGTACATTCACGAGACGAAAGTCCAAGTATTTCTCCGCCACCTTTCCAAAAAGATTGGACCGACGCATTACGATCTGGCGAGCAGGGTCGTGGAAACACCCAGATTACTGCAAACAGCTCTCTGCCCAGCGATACTTACCACATCCTAGCATATGATCCATCGACGCTACAAATGACACGAGGGGAAACAATATCCTCTTTTCACACAACACACGAGTATCTTCACCCTTCTGTGGTTCTTCCCCGCTTGAACAACCCAGCCAAGTTCTTACCATACTTCGAAGAAATGCAAGCCGAGGGCTACGAGATCGTCTCGGGTGGTGGAGATATACTTGTGTTCACGAAGGCTCTCAACGCCGGTAACCGCGTCACAGACTGTGGCACTGAGAAAGCAAAAATCGAACTTGGTGCCGCTGTGAGGAATGAACCTTTGTTCAGTGATGAGGCTATCAGCCGATCGAAACTTGCCCCTGGGCTGTCCCTCAAACTGGATACTGCAAATACTACTGGTCCTACCTCTAGTTGTGATACTTCTGAAGGGGCCAACGTACTTTCCAAAGAGAGAAAGTCTAAGGTTGGCAAAGTCCTACGTCGGATGCTCATCGGTGGGTTTGTCACAGCTGCATCGTGCTATGCACTCGGTATTGTCGGCGAATATTTCCGTACTGGTGGGCAGGACGGACGTGGTATTGACGGATTTACCGAGTTTGAATCTGAAAGGCGCCACAGGGATTGAAAAGTTCATTAAGGAAATCCTACGGATCATGTTCAATAACTCTGCGTGTGTTACGAGCTTCTCCTAAGCTTGGTTACAAAGGCAGGAACAATCTGGACTTCACTGTGTAATAGAGATTGGTTTCGCCGCCTCAAGGCTTCTTCTCTTTTTTACCTTTATTCTTTCTCTCTCAGACCCCGATAGTCACTAAGTTGATCACGGTCTAGGACATAGTTAAGGACCTTCGAAGATCACGGCCGCGTCGTCCTTGGCACGTCCATCATCATGCTTGTCTTCCCAGACCCAGTCCCACCAGGGTTGACGAAAGTCTTTAAATCCCCCAATACGGTCATTTGCCGACGATCGCATGGCCTCCCTTCTCCAGAACCTCTTCTGGTCCTCCTCCCGTTTTTGCTTCTTCAACTCCATCAGCTTCCGTTCCTGTTCCACCACATCATTTTCCTCTTGCGCGACCTTCTTTCGCAGTTCTTCGTCCTCCGAGTCGGGTTCCTCGTCCTCGTCGTACGGCCAGCGGTCAAAGGCATGCTGTAGGATACCACACCGAGCGCGCCCACTCATCAGATACATGACCAATCCCACTAACAATGTCATCGCCGCGTAAAAGTCCGATTTGACCCATAGATCGTACTCCTTACTTCCTAGGATGCGAAAGACGTGAGGTTCCGGCTCACTATCGCAAGTCGATAGGTGGAACCACGCGACCTTCTGCAAAAGCCGTTCCATATTCTGCCTGCTGTAGAATCGCTGATTGGCACCGCTGATGACGAGCCGACTGATTTCGGCGTCAGACTCGGCCGGATTGTGCCGACCGCTCCAGAGCCGCGACGTCTTGTGGCCGGGAAAGATTCCCCGAAAGACATGCAATCGAGATCCGTGCAGACCGATAAGAAACACTTCTTGGTCGGGGATCTTGTCGCCGGGCGGCTGCAGGCGGTGGACGTTCTGGAGTAGCTGCGCGAGAAGCTGCTTAAATTTCCCTTCCAGTGCTGATTTGAGGGTCTCGTGCTCCTCTGCGGTCTACAGGGAGGGAGAAGCGTGGTTTTAGTACATGGATGCAACGCGCATAACGAAGAGCTAGGTAGCACGTACTGTCGATACTTGGAGGACCGTTTGCGCCGAATGCCTCGCCGGATAATGCTCGAGCGACACCAATCCTCTCGTGAATGGGGTATCCTTGTACTTCTCACGATATCCGGTCCAATATTCAAATCGGCAGGTCAACAGTCGCGCACTACTAGACGTTAACCCACGTTAACCCGATTACATACCCTTAAAGCCTCGACTGCAGACAGAGCCAAACATGTCATAAATCCGGCGAAACGACAGCAATAATAATAATAATAATAGTAATAGTAATAATAACGACAGCATTAACAACGGAATAAGAAAAGACGGTAAAAGAGAAGTCCTTACCGAAGACAGAAATAAGACCTATTATCTTCCGTCTGGCGCAGAATCTTCAATGCACGCAAAATCTCATCAAGAAGAGCATAGACAACCTGTCCCTGGGCCCTGGCCGCAAAGTCGAAATCGAAATCGCGTACTGGGGGAGCCAGATTATCCATATCATCTTCGTACAAGCCCTTTCGAAACGGGGGTACCTTCTTGAGCGTCTTGTATACTCCTCGGAAACGGATATCGACCTCGGACCATTTGTTCAGATTGACCTGCTCCGCATTCTGTTTCCGACGGAAGAGCCAGATTGTACGTTGAACCACGGCTAGCGACAGGTAGTCCTGTTAACCGGTCTTTTCTGCCTCTCGGGCTGATATGGAAGAGGGAAGAAGGTATGTACATACAAGATCGCTCTGCTTTTCTTAGGTATCGTGAAGGAACAAGGTCTTGGGGGGCACAGTTCAAGAAGGTCCTCGCTTTCAACCCGTGGACTTCAATCTCGACGGCCTTCTCTTCCACGGATACGTCCCCGCCGGTGGCTTCCACGACAGCTGGGCTGGAATCAGGTTCCATGGTGACAGAGAGGGTGAGGAGTACAAGCGCTGGCGCGTGGTGGGTGAGAGGGTGAGGTTGACATGGGGGAGGATTCGATAGGTTGCCCGAGTGTTGTGTTGAGGCAGTGAATGTGTTGCTTGACAGTGAATGAATGGGTTGTTGGGGTTCATCTGCGCAATCTTCGAGGCCCCAGAAGGCCTCAGCTCAGGATAGATAGATGATCATTGATGAGACGCGTGAAGGACCATACTTTAGATTCTGGGATGACTTTAGATATTTAGATGGACTGATAAGCTTAGTTAGATAATTATCAATGAAAGGTAGTGGTTAGTTGTAACTCTAGTTTACCTTTCTTCGCCCTTGCATTGTTTATCTCTCCTGCGGTGAATAAAGAATTCTTTGCCTCTTCAAGGAGAGAGAACACAAGCGTGACTCATCATGTACTGACTCTACTATAGGCTTGGCATCTTTTTGTTGTGCTGAGGTTAACTATGATGGTAGTTGTTTAAACAAGTATACATATATGCGCTCGAGGCACACTTTATCATCTTCGGGAAGTGGGTCTACCGCCACCGAACGGGGATCGCAAGAAGGATGCGAAATGCGGGTACATGCGTTATTCTCGTCTTACCTGGGCGTGTCCCAGTCCATAGTGGAGCTAGCTGCGAAACCAATTGGGGACCAATTTGTTTATAGTGAGGAAATTCCTACCGCCTGCTGCGACGATGGCGGTCGATCGCTCTCTGCCGTCTTGAATTATTTAAGTTCTGTGCAGACTTCGCTGCGAGCCGCTCAAGCTAGACCAAAATCTTCGACTACATCTGGAATTTGCGAAGGCTTCTGATAGTCTTACGAGTATATGGCTCTTGAGCTTTCTCTAAAGGTAAGCAAGTACCAGTTTACTGCAACCAAACATGGCTAAAGTTGTCGCTGTTAGATTCTGTCAGGCACTTCCGAGCCACAAAATGTGGAACCCAAAACATTCCGCCTTAACGATGAGTTAGAGCCACTAGACGAGGAAGATTATAGGGTAAGATTGTAACCCCCCAAACACATAGCCTCCTAGCTTATGTACAATACAGTGTGCCGTGGGGTCATTTGAAACTTTAATAGCTATCAGGCACCTTGACACTCAGAGGAGAGTCAACATAACCAGTTATCTCGCGGCGCACGTACATGATACTACGTATGTACTCACCGTGAATGGGATCGAAGTTGGGGTTCTACCAGAGAAGTTGGAAGGATTTGTCGAAGCGCTCGAGAAAGCGATGGGTAAGGTAGTGAGAAGGGACAATGTGGAAGCGGGAAATAAAGAACATGTGGGAACTAAGAGCGAATAACAGTTAGCTACCAAATGGCCGGAACAAATCACCGGCTACACTACAGACCCAAATGGGTTGTGGCCTTTTGGTTCATGGTGGGAATTATTGGTGGGGAAAACAAATGATCTGTTCAGGAAGTCAACAAGAATTGTCGCCATTTGGAAACTAGAACTCAAGGAAGTCTGCCGGTTTGGTAGACATCTAAGCTTTTCTCGCCCTATACGGGAGTCGGGGGACTCCATTGAAGATATACTGCATTTTGTGCGTTGCAGGCACGACATTAGACGCGAGAGCTACCGAGGTCCAGTATAGAGAAAACAACTAAACTGAACGAAGACATTTGCTCTGCACCTATAAATCTATTTAGAAGAAAAAATATTTTGCGTCGAAAGATATTAGTAGGATGATCAGTTGTCACTCATCACCTTCCGAGGCTACCGAACATGAGCTGAACAATACAGCCACCCAGTATTTAAGCGTTGAAAGGGTATAGCAATCATCTGCAATTGAATCATCGGCCTCTCTTTACACTATATATCTGACCTTCGTTCTCATAAGAGCTTCACACATTGCATTGTCCAGTCACAAGCAATGTGACGTTGTGGCTAGTTTGATTTGGATGACAGAGGCAATAACTGAGTCCGAAAGCAAGTCCACTGCAAATGGATTTAGTACAGCACTGTACCTAGTCTTCTAAGCCCTATATACATAATCACCGAAGCGACGTCACAAAAAGCCCTTCAAAAGTCACCTTATAAGCTCCCGTCGTTTTCCCTCCGTTCAGCGTCGTTCTCTGAGAGCCTAGTTAGCGGCCTGCGTGAAGAACAATCATTGCAGCAGCCACGCAGCAATGCTGGCCGCACCTGTACCCATTCGATCATTCTGCTGTGCCCCGTTATCACTGGGAGTCGCTGTGGCAGGCATACTTGCGTACGTGGTATGGTGCTCGTTCCTGTACCAGCCTCCGGTTGTTTTCCTTTTGGGAGTACTACCTTCGGTATTGGCAGCAGTCGTTTGTGTTGGTGCCATGGTGACTAAACTCGGGCTCGTTGGATCGGGGCCGGAAGAGGATGATGCTGCATGGACTTTGGTGCTATTGGAACGGCGACCCGAGAGACCTGGGACATCTGTCGTACTATCAGAGTCAGAACTTGCAGATCGTAGCACCCGAACCAGGCGAGTAAGGGAGACCGGCGCTCCTGCTTCAAACACATAGGTGCTATCTGGCTGGATATATGGGGCACCAGTGACACCGCGATTTGCAAGGATTCCTCTAATGCTTTGAGGCTACGATGCGGCTAGAGTCATGCAAGGAGCATGAAGCTCCAGGCTTTCAGAAACATGTTGACAGGAAGGTTCAATTCTGGGTCGCCAACTGTACGATATATAGATCAGGTATAGAAAACAGAGGTATGCCGTTAACGATGCATTGGCTGAGCAAGGTGACGCGACTTAAATATATTTGCCGATATACCTTGGTTCCTGCCTTTCAGCCTGCGCAGATTTTCTGGCTCGCAGACCTACTGTTTCTGGCGCCAATTGAGAAATCACCTATTTGCTACTCATCCTTCATGACCCTACGAAGACATAGAAGATATCAAACTATTCTATTCGCTATAGGCATGTTCTCTAGTACTATGTAGGGGTGAAATTTGTGATGGCATTAAGCAGTGACCTCGCGCAGTCACCACGACGTAGAGATCTTCAAATTACTACTTGGAAGTGGGTCGAATCCACGCTAGTTTGGGCTATTCAAGGCTCTTATAGTGTGTCCGGCTTAACCAGAAGCCGAAACCAATCAACCCTTCCAGCCCGGTAGGTTGCCATGCGGAACCACTTGATGATGCACGCGACGCCGCTCCATACATGGACCGCAGACCTTAGCGGCTCGATGGCTAAGGGAATTTAAAATCCTATAGGCGTAACCACGTATACAAAGCTGGAACATTGAATCTATCATTAAATATTGATTTGCGGAAGAGTCCTGTCATCATCTACTTACACCATGCTGAAACTATTATCCCGAATTGCCCGAAAAGCTGGTCTCGTTATGGTAGATATTACCATAATCCGTTCGCATCGAGGCAGAACGCGAGTCATTCGATCCACATTTCCGCAGAAGCACCACGAGGTAAGCCAGAATCCTAGACTTCATTTATTATAATACTCAAGCGACCAGGATGGGTTTTTCGCACTCTCTAAACTCGAGAGCCAACAGCTCGAACCAGAGATAGATGCCGTTCTAGATTCGATTTCCCTGCTTCACAAGAAAACAATCTAGAGCCATGTTCCTCTACAGTGGCTTGAAAGGTGGTATGCACCCTAAGCTATTCGAGTCGAAAGGCAAATCAATTCTATGCCAGCGAGCCCACCGTGCCGTTTCTCCTATCTGTCGTGCCTCCACTTTGTAAAATGCAGATAATTTCTACGAACAGTAGAGATAACCCATTTTGGCCTAGCTCTTTGACAGAACATTTGATAAAAAGTAGGCTTCAACGCCATCAGTTGCATAAATTAACAAAAAATCACTTCTTGCCCTCTGCTCTCGGGAAGGCCTAGCCTTCAGAAAAGAGAAGAAATTGCGTATAAACCGGCTGTAACTTCTTGTCCCTGAATCACATCGCTTCAAAATACAAAGAGCGCCCAAGTTATCGCAAACCGCGTGAATCACGGAGTCACCCTATAGAAACAGGCATTTCTCTCAAGTCCATGCTCCTGTTTCACTTTCACGAGCCTCCTGGATGTATAGATCGCAACCAAGCCCATGAAGGATGAGACGACCGGGACCGGTAGCGATTATAGTCAATAGAGCCATGATAGACCAATCTCCATCTCGTGCAGTATATACGTTACCAACGCAGGTCATCGGCCTTGCCGCATTATTCAGGAATGCTGGCCTATAGTTAGCCAACAGCGAACCTTCCAAGAGAACCATCGCAACCTTAATGGTATGGAGAGTGCATGTAGTAGCAATGCGTAAATCATCTTCAACCCGGCTGCAAACGAAACAACCCTGAGTGAGATCCTCTCAACTGGGTCGATTGTAGGCTTTCATGTACTAAGGGAATCTTGGACTGCTTTCCCGGACGCTACGCGTAAGTAGTACAATCGTACTTCAAAGAGAACTGCTAACCGTTTTCAGGGATAACAAGTCTCCCACGTGATTTAAGAGAGACCAAGACGATACAAGACTGGTCTTGAATTTGGAGAAAGACCGTCGCTCCACAGAAGTTTAAGCTACTATGATGCTTAGCGATGTTGGGAATGGCCATCAAGAAGGGTTCTCGGACGACACTCCGTCCTACCAACAGACCGTCCGTGAGGTGCTCGAGCAAATCCTAGCTACATGTCAGAAAGAGGCATGGGAAGTGCTGAGAGTAGAACCCAGGCACGTGCTGTTTACCCGACCAATATTCTTCTGGTGCTAACAATAACGTACCTTAATTTTGCTGTTGTATTCAAGTTGGAATCCTGTGTACCATAGGTGTGAGCTGGGACAATTGACCGGTAATTGGTCTACGTCCTTTCATATACGGGAATCAGCCATTTATACCTGCGTTATGGTGGAAGTGGTTCGGCCACACTACAGGGCTCATTTCTCCACGTCGTCCTGACTCTCTAAAGCTACCCTTCCTATATGGTTTTACTATACCCTGGTGATATTACTGGAGGATTCCCGAAGTCCTTCTAAAGAGCCTCTGATTATCTTTGGGGCGCTACATGCGCGTAGTCCTGCGCAATGTGAATTGGTTGACACGCTGGTGAGACAACTGGTGCTTCCAGGGACTGGGAAAATCTTCTTACTGGTGTGTTTGTTATGGCGCTGGATGAATGTAGCTGCTGGCCAGACCGAGGAATGGCTGGAAATGTTGTCGACTCTAACTGTTGAACAAGACCGGCTTGACTGTGTAATTGTCGTAACACAATCAAGGACATAGTGTCAAATTCATTACTAGGACAGAGATTGGAAACGAAGAGTAACATATGACGATAGCCGACGAATTAAGCACAGTCCGGTCCTCCAACCCCCACCTCATAGGATCGGCGACAAACACGGAGAGCTCATTGAACGGCGTCGGGATACAAAACCGGGCCCCGGCCAGACCATATGATCTGCTGGAAATACCGCTCACTCTATTATAACCGGACGGGATACACCAAAGATCCCTCCTCAGACCGACCCTCGTATCACAGAGTGGAGCAACAATCACCTGGCCCGAGTAACAAGCTCAACTATATTCCTCCCTCCTACAAAAGAGCCTGCCGTCAGAATGATGGCCCGACAAGTCGGTAAGCAGGGATGCGCCACAAACTGCAAGACTCTTTTGCGTGAGAGCACTCACATTCATCCCCGATACATATTCAAAGTCGGAGTTAATATGGAAGCATCATTGGTCTAGTGGCGGAATTTATCCATGAGGCCCGTGCTCGATTCGCGGACGATGCCTTCTCTTTTATATCGTTTGCCAAATTTTAGCCTTGTATTACCATTGTAAAGAACACAGAGCATTTTTTGTATCTGCCTGCAAGTCTAGGTAACCCATGCGTACATCAGCAGCGAGTTATCAGGTACCGAACCCAGCACTGACACGAAAAACAACAACAACAAAGAGCAAACAATGGTAGCCCTCCTCCAACTCCTAGCGGGTGTAGTATTTCACCCCTTGTGCAAGAAGATAGGCAATGCATGAAGCAGTCAGTGCGGCCGCACTCAAGCCAACAAGCAGACCTTGCTCGAAATACGAAACCTGGCCCCCAACCGGCTGAGAGATCTTCTTCGAATTAAGATGGCCACGGCGAGATTGCCAAGGCAGAATCACCCTTTCCGGTTCCCGGAGAGGTATCTGTGAGATTGCCTTGTTCCGTGAAAAGTTCTCAGTTCGGAACGGCAGCTCGTAAGATTCATGGTCGGAGGTGGGTGCGACCATGACTATATCCACAGCATAAGTGATCATTCGAAGGATATGAAGTATAAGTTGAGACCCTTACCAAATGACCGTGTTGGAATGTGATTGACAAAGAAATGCTCCGAGTTCAGAGACTGAGAGAGGTAGAATGCCTCCCTGCTAGCGCTGAAGAGATAGGTCGCCTGCGCGATCTTGCCTTGGTTTCTATTATGAGGATGTTAACTGGTGCTCAGATAAAGGTGATCGGGCCTGTAGGCCATACACTTTATTCCACAAATCGATGCCATGGTCCAGGCTTGTAGTAGGAACTAGAATCATGCCGGGATAATGTGTGGTGACCAGGTCTGCAACCTGGTTGATTGTCTCATAGTTCACGGGGCTGGGACTCATCATGAGTTCATTATTCTCTGCAGGATAACCGTAACTTACTCAGTGCGCTCCAGCGATAATAAGGCAGGCACCTTGCGTGGGCTACATAGGATAGACTTCCGCTGTAGCGATGGGAATGTCCGCGACAAGAGGTCGGCTATATCCTGCTTGATGGACATATCTAGCATCGGGTTTTGAGCCTCCTCCAAGCCCGGATATTCACGTTGAACCTGCGTTGCTAGACGCTCAATGACGAATTCGTCCACAAAGCAGAGGCGTGGCACCCGGCCTGGGCGTTGACGGGGATTCTGCGTGATGGTCCGGCCAAGCCAGCTGGCTACCACATCCACATCCGCCACACTGCGATCAACAAATATGGCAGGGAGGCCAGAAGGGGCAACGTGGACTCGCGCAGTGGGATTGCGTCTGCGTAATGCGGCGGCAACACTGTGAGCAGTGGCAGAGTCCTGGAGAACCGCCACCCCGAAATGAAACCGGGCTAGATCGTCTGCGTCAATTGTGTCTTGAGCAGCCACGCTAACTGCCTCCTGGTCTAAGCTAGACCTGATGATCTTATTTAATTCCAAGCGGAGAGGCACAGTGGCGCTAAGGACTAGACAACAACTCCCAGCAGCGATAGCAGCGGCCAGGGGGAGTATCACCGATGAAAGAGGGCATGACGGCGACGCTTGTATTAAAGTAGGGCCTAGAGGCATGAGGCCACTGGAAGACGATCGTCCGGCTTGGATGGATCTCTCCCTGGCGAGTGTTGAAGGGAAATCTAGGCTCTCATACAGTTGCTGGATTGCATCCAGGGAGAGCTTGAGTTCCTCAGAGGCGCTTGCATTGGTGACCAAAGGATCTATCATATAACCAACATTAGTCACCTGTCAGACTATCAAAGGCACCCGCATGCCCATACCTAGGCAAAGAGCAGCAATCAAATCCGTCTGGCAGCTCTTTACACTGGAATGAAGAGCAGCAAGTTCTTTTTGGCGTTGCAGCACGTTTTCCAGTCGGCCTTCCACCCAAGCAGCCTCCACAGTCTGATACAGAGCCGCCAACATGGCTGTGTCTTATGAGGAGCAAAATGGAATAAGGCGGCTGAATATCGGTCTCAACCAGAGGCTCCTTGAAGTCAAGAGTCTGATTATCTTCGCAATGATGTTTGCATCGGGTCTCCCCGTACTAATTGTACGAACAGCACCGGGAGGTCGGTTCGGCTCCACAACCCCCATGCCGAAGAATTATGTGGCCAAGTACGATCACAGCCTAACAGTCAATAGCTAAATATGTGAGGGGTTCTGGAATGCGACCCTGGAATAATGAATCAGTCCACCTGTTTTGCACAATGGAGACGCAAGAAAGTATGTTGGCCTATACAATCCCAAGCAATCATGTCAGACGCATACTAACGAAGCCTACTTTGCACATCTAGAGCCCACGCCGGTGTTCCTATTTGCTCATGGCTCGACCATGATGTTAGGAGAGGAATCAGAGCCCGCTCGAATCTGGGAGGAAGTAGGAAAGGAGGCCTTACGGCGCGGAATCAAGCGGATCGTGATGATGGTATACCTCTACCCCTCCTTTTCGAATGCCACTTTCTGCCCGGCTGTGGTTTTTGCTGCCGTCAGTGCCTGTCAATGATTGACCCTGATAATTAGGGTGCCCACTGGGAAACTACTGGCGACGCCATTGAAGACAGTATGAACCCAAATCCACAGAAGCTCCCCATGGGTGGCGTCAAAGACAGCCGATATTTGCCCTATAAATTGGCCCCTGACCTCGAAGGAGGAGAAAGGGTGCTGAGCATGCTTCGTAGCGCGGGGTTCAATGCCAGAGCGGCTCCCAGATTCGACTGGATCCACGATACCTTCCTAGTCATCATTCGCATGTTTCCTCACTGCGTGCCGATTCCCACCACGCTTGTTTCCATGAATGCTCGCTATGACCCACACTTCCATGTCAAGATGGGAGCCACCCTACGTCCATTGCGGTACGAAAATACCCTTATCATCGGCAGTGGCGGGTCCGTCCACAATCTGTATCGAAACCACTGGGAGCATATGTTCCGCTTCAGTGACAACTTCGCCCAGCCAGTTCCGCCCGATGCCTGGGCCTTGCAATTCCGCCAGGCTGTGGAAGATGTAGTCATACACAATACTGGGCCTGCCCTGCGCCGTGCAATGTCCCGCTTGATGAAGCACCCGCGGTACCGAGACGCTCATGGCACCGATGATCACTGGATGGCTTCCCTGTTTGTTGCTGGAGCTGCAGGAAGGGTAGGAGACCAGGGCCCAAACATGATGCTGGGAGAATGTTGGGAATTGGTCAACATGTGTAACACCCAATACCAATTGGGATCGTGGGACTGACAAATTTCCTGGGCCAAGCTTCTTTGCTGCGTGTTCGTTTTCCTATATGTACGTCTTGCCACTAGTGATGAAGTCTAAGTATATTCGTGTGAGGTATTCAATGAGGGCCCCTGGCATGAAGTTGGCTACGACAAAGTGACTGTACTAAACGCAACGAGAATCGCTCTTTGACTTCTCGGACGTCTCTTCTATTCCCTCCATAAGCATCCATAAGCAAATATAACTGCAATTGAACAAAGCCATAAACTATCCCTCAAGTTCCAAAGAACCGAATGCAGGGATTTGGTACCAAGCCTCCCCGTAATTTCTCTTAACTATACAAACAGCAAACCACGCGCGGGTTTCACCATTCCCCACCTATTGCATGATCTCCAAAACTAGTTACTCGGCCAGCAGTGTTCCTCCATAGTGACGACCAGTTCTGTTGAAGAAGAGCAACGTCAGTATTGCAATATCAATCAGGCAGTGCAAGAGGCCACTTACTGCGATCATGGAGCAACCAGCAATCATAAAGGCACCCACCGCAGTGAACAACGGGTTCTGGCGTCTCTGCTCGCGATCCAGCTCTCGATTCACCGGCCGATAGTCAGGCACTCGACGATGTGCTTGTTCCCACCATCCCGGATTCGATACAGGATATGGCACTGGAGGGTGTGGAGCGAGGGTGGGATCGAAGTCAGACGGTTGGGCTTCTCGCTGGACGTTGTTTGCGACAGTCACCAGCTGGACAGCTGTCGAAGCGTCTGATTGCTCTGCTGATGTTTGATGAATGTCATAGTCTCCGATGAGTCGAAGGCTGGCTCCGTTCAGGTTGCCAACCGGCTGTTCCAACTCGCTGCGGTGTAACTGGGCCATGATGATGGGGACGAGGATACGCGGAATTGCTCTGTGAGGTGGAACACCGCGGTTGGTGTTGATGATGGCCTGTGGTGGATAATGAGACCATACATACAGATAGGCCGTCGTCTCCACCACCGTTTACCCGGATCTGCCTGCTTATCCCCTGGTAAGTCCGGAGGAGCACCCGCGTGGAGCCGAGCCGAGCATGCATCACCTACAATGCAGAATGCCCCGATATAACCCTCCAGTATGCTCGATGCTATAGCCCCATCAGTATAGTACTCAATTTTCCAAGCCCCGTTCGAGAATACTTCTTTATTCTGGCGAGAAGCCAAGCCATAGTCAACATGGCCGAGAACACATTCGTCGAGATTGACCGCGAAAGCTTCCCCTATGTCTTCATGAAGAACGTGGGTATTCCTCTGAAGACGTATGAAAAAGGACTCCTACGATGCAATGTTTACCTGCCCAAGGACGCTTTACCATATGGGTCCCAGAGGTACCCGGTGATCGCGACATATGGTCCATGTAAGTTTGTCTTCCGCTATTTGATGTTCTGAAATAACTTACGCAGGGGATTGGGGCTCCCGTGCTAGATGGAAAGGATGTCCCTTACGAAGTGTTCTTCAAGAAGAGCTGGGACCAAGTCAACCCGGAGATGAAGTCTGCCCACTCCTCATGGGAGACCCCAGACCCGGGCTTTTGGACACGCCAAGGGTATATTGTTGTCCGGACGGACGAGCGAGGTTCTGGACAGGGCCCTGGAGAGCTTGACACCATGTCCCGTGGAACTAGTGAGGCCTTTTTCGACGTAGTTGAGTGGTGCGCAGAGCAGAAATGGTCGACCGGAAAGGTAGGACTACTGGGAATCAGTTACTTCGCAGGCACCCAGTGGCGCGTGGCTGCTCGCCAACCCAAGGGTCTCGCCGCCATTATTCCCTGGGAGGGAATGAGCGATTACTATCGTGATCGTGTTCGCCATGGTGGCATCCTGTCTGACCGGTTCATCGACTTCTGGTGGAAGAATGCTGTTCAACCAAACCAGTATGGCATGCCCGGCCGAGCAGCACGCCAATGGGGCGACGACACGCTCGAGGGAGATTTGGACCAGGGAACTCTGATTTCTAACCGACGCGACCAGACCAAGGATACTGCTATACACAAGTCCATGGATGAAGACTACTACCAGACCAGAAATTTCGATCTGGCCAGTATCCAGGTTCCTCTTCTGAGCGTCGCCAACTGGGTAAGGATCCCAATTCCTCGGTCCATGATGCATAGCGCTGACCATGCTGGATACAGGGCGGAATCCTACTTCATCTACGTGGGAATGTTATCGGCTGGATGCGCGCCTCCTCCCCATACAAGTTCCTGCGTTTCATTGTTGGGCGTCATGATTTACCCTTCTACTACCCTCACTCCGCTCGGTTGCAACTGTCCTTCTTGGATGCCTTCTTGAAGGACAATGATTATGACGGCTGGAAGGCTGGCCAGCAACCCCGCGTGCATATATGCCTACGTAAAGGTGATTGTGGCGTTGACGATCTGGAGCGCGAATTGAAATTTCCCAGCCGGGCAGAGGTGGACTGGCCCATCCCGGATACTCAGTACACCAAGTTCTTCCTCACGTCCAAGCAGACCCTTTCGCACACTCCTGATATGTCTGTTGGTACCTGCACATACGATGCACTGAATGGGTATGTCTCCTCACATAATGAAGTTGGCGATTCTTGAGACTCACTATATACTCCAGGACTCCAATCACCTTCCGGTACCAGACGCCTTCAACCCTGGAAATCACTGGTCACATCCTGCTACGCCTCACGGTTTCCTGCTCCCGAGAAAGGCAAGACGCACCTCTACTGCCTGATATCGACCTCTTCATCACGCTGCGCAAGTTGAACGCGGACGGGAAGGAAGTCCATTACACCAGGACAATGGGCGATCCAGTTCCGATTGTGAAGGGGTGGCTACGTGTCTCGCTTTGCAAGGTCAACGACAAACACCCATTCCACCGCGAGTATCTCCCATATCGGGACTATGCTAGCGGTGATGTTCAGCCGGTGAAGGAGGGAGAGAAGTACCAGGCAGATGTGGAGGTGTGGCCGACCAATACCGTGCTTGAGCCCAATGAGACATTGGTCCTGGAGATTGCAGGTCATGATACACAGGTTGTTGGCAAGTTCTTGCACGAGCACCCTGATGACCGGGATCCCCGGGTGTTTGACGGTCTCAACCACGTTGAAGTGGGCAAGGAGGCTAGTTGGCTTCTGCTCCCGATCATACCGGCTCGGTGAACGGGAAAGCAGTGACTGTAGTATGGAAGAAAACTCTTTAGATTAGATGAGATGTACTTTACTTGATGTACATGCAAATCAGGTATATCAAAATATGCTCTTGCAGCGTCCATATTCGGTATATTCGGTAACTATCCAATTCACGAGTCATCAAGTCTGTCAGATCCAAGGTGCGTTAATAGTTACTTTGAGTTGCCTGGGCTGAAACAGAACATAAAATTACACTGGTCATTAACATCATGCATACTGCGACACAATCGCTGCGATCTCTGCTTCGCTCAGCTTCGGAACCCCCAGCGCATCGTTCCACAAATCTTTCTCGGAAAAGAGACTCCCGTACCCTCCCCTTTCAAGAGGTTGAACGCAAAAACCACGTGGTTCGGATTAGGTTTCGCCAGCTCTTCAAAAGCTTCTTTCTCTAGATCTGCTGTAGAGAATTCTTTCTTTAGGGCTTGTTCCTTGCCTGCTATCCTCAGCAGGTCGTTTTGGGAGATCCTCACATTATCAACAAACACCGGTTTGTTCCGAGTGGAATCGAGGTCCTTCAACACCCCAGCGACGGCCTTGCCGATCCCCGACAATGTAGTGGTGCTGATCTTTCGACTCCTCCGTCGTAGACTTCCGGATTACCGAAGTTAATCAGGAATTTGACTTACACACCCCAGTCGAAGAATGGACCGTTAAGAATCAGCGTATAGCTTATCTTGGATAAAGGCGCAGCAGCGACCTCCTTCAGCGTTCTGAACAGCAACCTTGTCGGCAAACACCGGCAGCGCTGCCGCCTTGGGGTTCGTGGTGTTGGAGCCGAACTCAGAAGGAATGATGCGCTTCACATTGGCAGCCACCGTGGCATTAATCAGGTCATTTGGGGTTCGAGACCAACATGACCGAGAGTAATCACTAGGGCGTCTTGACCCGCCAGCGCTGCCTGCAAGGAGTCAAGGGAAGTATAGTCCACCTGCGCCACGCGCACATCGCTATCGAAACCATTGTTGGCAGAGCGAGTAAGAACAGTGAGCTCGAACTCGGCCTCCTTCAGTGCCTTTAGAACAGCAGGACCGAGATTTCCGGTGGCCTAGCAAGGTTTAGAAGAAGATATAGAAGACTAGAAAGCACATAAGGAGGACTTACACCGGCAATAGCAACTTTAGTAGCAGACATCGGGCCGAAATATAATGAGTTTCTTGAATTGGGACAAAGTAGTTTGGAAAACTGGCCGTGATATCTACAGAAGCACCTCTTATATACCTGAGGCAGAGACGCCGCCATGGTAGATTACCAGATACCGCGGAATTACCCGTATGTCATTGTTCATCAACCATAAGCCAGATTTATAAGCGACCTTCGATCACGACATTTTATGCTCTAGCAAAAACTTCGCCAGTGGAGGTAGCTTACTAGATACTGCGGAATTCCCGCCGTGCCCATAAACCATGGTATGTAATAGTCCTACTATCAACAACACCTACACGGCCTATGTCCTCTTAAGCTTTAGCACGAGGTACTGTAGCATTATTATGCCCACATCGAACAGTCTTATGCTGACCACTTGCACATGTAAGCAAATGGACCAAGACAACAATGCCGCAATGGTTGCAGGCAAAACACACTATTTACGATCAGTGTCTCCATCGGCCCGCAGAACGGCAATTCGTGGAGCCGAGCCGATATGCTCCCATCGGCCTATTCAGGTCCGGCTCTCTGGCCAAGGCCATTATACCAGTAATATCCGACGATCCTGGGCAAATTGACGTACAATTCCATAGTTCATAAATGCAGGCGGCACTCGCTATGTCTCGGTCTTTAGCTCCGGCCTACCAAGTGACTTCCGCTTAGTTATCCGGCGAAAACCCTATCGTACGTCCAGATAGGGTGCGTTGCATATAACCCAGTAACTAAACCATCATTCCAGGCCCTTTCCCACCTTGCTTCTGCTACACAGAACGAATTCTCAACATGCAGATACCGAAACCCTTCCTAGGAGGAGTGACGGGGGCGTTCGTCCTGTTGCAACTCCTCTTCCTCGCGAACATGGCTTACCTGTATGGAACTGCATTTCACGATTCGTACCGCATCAGCAGCATGGACGTGCTCTTTGTCGACTACGACCAAGGTGTCATTGGGGAATCAGTGGCAGCCGCCTACAGCGAAATACAAGGGGACAGCTTCCCGACGCTCCATCAGCGCCCGTCATCTGAAAACCCCTCCCAGGACAGCATACGACAAGCCGTCTGTAAGGGCCACTTCTGGGGCGCAATCTACGCCAACCCGGGGGCCTCGTCGCGTCTATCCTCTGCCCTCGGCTCGCCCGACATCGCCCAGGCATACAGCAGCTCCCAGGCGTTGACATACGTCTGGAACGGAGTGAAGTACGCCGCCTACGCGCAGACGGTCTCGTCGAGCCTCAAGGTGTTGGTCCAGGCGGCCGCAGGCGCCTACCAGCAGATCAACGGCACAAAGGCCATGGCTACGGTCGACACATCCAACCCGGCCGTCGCGCACACCCTGCTCAACCCCATCGCCGCGTCGTCGATCGACATCAAGCCGACGAACCAGGGCGTCCGGTTCTACTACAACACCGTGTCGATGGTGATGCCGATCCTGTAGCAGTTCTTCTTCATCATGGCTTTGAACGGCCTCACTAAAATTATGCAAACCAAGGTCTATCATCTTCGACTCAGATTCCATTGAGAAAGGATGTGGTACTGGAGCAAATTTCGTATTCGCCGAGCCAGTGCTGATGGTGCGTCTGTGTTCGAGTTCACTATAATTAGACTTGATTAACACAACCTTGAAAATGTTATCCAGTGGGATAGTGTTTCAATTTCGCTTCGCCCAATGCTGGCCTTTATCAAAAATAGCCTTCTTGAACTCCCTCCGGTCCAAGCCTGCCCCTGACATCATTGTCCCATCAAAAACTGTCCTCCATCCCACAGCATTGAGAAACCAAACTAACCAGGCATTGGTGCCCTTCCACAGGAACATACCCTTGCCCTCTCCGGGCTTTGAGATGACTTCATTGACAACTTCGCGTGCAAATTCCTGCGCTTTCATACTACTTTGCACATGGCGTCTACTTCTCTCTTGAACGCTGCCTTCAATATCACTGTAGAGGCTGTCGTGGCCGAATGAGATATTGTCGGCTGACATTAGGCCAGTCGAAACCTCACCCATAAATAATGTAACAACTTTGATTCCAAGAGGCGCTAACTCGATCCGGAGAGTGTCAGAGTAGGAAGCAACAGCGGCTTTGGATGCATTGTAACCGGCAGCGAAGGGAAATGGCAGACGGCTAAGGATCGAAGACGTGTTGATGATGGTAGGCGGGCTTGGTGAATCCGGTACAGAGGCTAAGAGAAGAGGGACAAAGGCCGTTACCATGTCGAACAACCCGAAAACGTTCGCGTTGAACATTTTACGGACGCTCTCGCCATCGGCTTCGATCGCTGGTGCTTCGTACACTGTGAACCTGTCAGAATATCAGGATCTGATGGCAGAAAGGGGATGACACACTCATGCCAGCATTATTGAACAACATGTCCAGTTTTCCTCCAGAGCGCTCCGAAACCTCGGCTTTCAGAGTAGCAATGCTCTCTGCGCTCGTCACGTCGAGCGGAAGTACCTCGATCCCTCTCGCTTCTAGCTGGGAAAGAGACTTGGTTGACCGAGCAGTTGCAAAGACGCGCATGCCTTGGTTTGCAAATTCAAGGGCGAGAGCGTGACCAGCCGAACCGGCAGAGCAGCTACAAGATTAACATAATTAGGGTTAGGCCACTCCAATATAGATATGGTATGGGATATGTCACGAACCCAGTAATAAGAATCGAGCGCTTGTGTAGTGAGGCCATGGTCAAATTTTGCTAGAAAGAAATGTATTTTAGGGATTGGAAATTCTGTCGTGAGGAGGCGCAATCATATTAAACTCGAACGCGGTTCAGTATTGAGGTCCATGCTGCGTTGCCACCCGACGACGAAGTGAGCCTTTCCATAGGATTTGGCCAACCATGTCGTCGCCGGTTACAAAACTGAGCCTCGTGTTGTGCGATTAGTAGGGCCGCCCTTTGGAAACTCGATGACGTTTAAGATCAATGTGCCGAGGTCTTGCAAGTCAACGACCATGGAATAACTAATCATAACCCTGGCACGGCTTCGGGCCTCATTTTATCTACATGGCTTCAATGGCCTTACATATATGGAAACTCAGCATTAAAGTACCGAGGCGTTGCCAGTCAAAAAACCACGGAAAACTCATGCCTCCGGATAATATCTTTGACCCTATTCTCAAAGGGTGGGCTGGATTGACAGACGGGATTCCGGAAATCCAATTTGCCAAGGGCTGTTGTTAGTGACTACCTAGGCAAGGAAGAGTCACAGATACATAGTAAATTCTTAGAATACTGCACATTTGGTATCTATAGACAGCATAGGAGGGTACTAATTCGTAATATCGGCCACAGGACTTATGCAGCTTTCAAGCTCTGTTCCCTTTTTTGACAACGATGATATTTGTGGTCGTAAATACAGAATCATTATGCTGAGACTTTGCCAGCGGTCTCGAAATGCGTTATCCGCTGTGACCATGTAGCCGCAAGTGATCTTATGGAGATCATACCATTAGCCCTGTATTCTAGGAGCGGGGCACCTGGTTCGGCAGAAAGAGAGAGAGTCGGGTAGTTCACTAATCATCCCCATTCTACTTCCTCATCGGACCGATCCGTTACAATCCGCGCCCCATACCGTACCAAGCAGGGTAAGCAGGGCCTTCGGGCAACGCTATTAACCTTCTGGATCCCACCACAAATTATATCACAATTCCGCATGGTTAAGTCCGCATTCTATTACTATAACACTATCAATGCTTGAGCGACCCGAAATGGCAAAGTGGAACCGTCTACTCGAAAACGTCCCCGAGGACTTCCCGAAGGATCAGCCTGTGTTTATGCTGAATCTACTCCAGTTCTACGACCAAGCGCAGTATGCCGAAGGAAGCAAGCATGGTCCTTGTAGCGGCCAGGAGGCGTGGGTTGAGGGATACTTGACGGAAGTCCGGAAACTTCCAGGCGCCGGCGATGATTTTGAGTTGCTGTATAGTGGCTTTCCCGCCTCAAAGATTGTGGGCGAAGATAACGAGAGATGGGACGCGGTCGCGTTAGTCAAATTCAGGGATATCGCGGCGTTCCGCAAGACGCTTGGCAGTGATGAGTACGCAGCAACTGCAGCGGAGCATCGTGACGCGGCGCTTAAGGACTGGAAGTTAATTGCCTCCACCCAAGTATTCGACCAAATTTGAAGACATATGCGGAAGACTTGGCTAGTCGCAGAGAAATCCAAAGGACTCCGGATTGCTGTTTCCTCCAAGCAGATGTCAACTCTATGTCATTCATTCTTCTTCCTGTACTTCCCTTCTATAGAGATGTATATCCCTCCTGGGCTCAGTGGTAGGAAGGCGGAGCAAGGCTTTACTGGATAATATTCATAAGCAGTCCTACATGCAGCTCCAAGAAATATTGCTATATCTAGGTGAATGATCCTTTGTATGTCGGCATCCTTAACTGCTGACTGGCTTCTCAGTGAGGTCTCTACCATAGTTATAGTTAGTGGCGACGCCACCGTCCCAGCTGGCCTTTTGAGATGAGATTCTGCAGCGTGGTTCGCATATCGTATACTGTCTTCTATGGTGGCTCTAGTGCCGATACTCTTCTATGCTTGACAAACGAAAGGAATTGTCTCCGGCCTTTGCGGCTCTTCTCATCATAGGATTAGCAGTTATTGGCGACCAACGTCATGTTAAGCCGTACGGTGATCCTCTGTTAGCTTAACGAGGCATCTAGGGTTTATAGTCCTTGAGGAGAGTGTCAAACCCTGGGATCCGCCTAAGCTGCGCGACCTGCTAGTGTACTAGTTCAAGCACGAGATTGACTAGAATCCACTAGTCCGAAGAGGTAGGAGTACTTATCCTGGGAGCGGGATGGCTCCTGAGAACCCAGTCGGGGTTCTTGAGAACTAACACAATGATCCTAAGATCCGAAGCAGCAAAGGTAGAAGCAAGGCCAAGGGGATACGTATATCCGCTTGTGATAAGAGTGTGGATGGATCGTACTAGCAGTGGTAACTTGGCAGTTGTTAAAGTCAGTGTTCTTGACGCGAAGAACTAAACAAGACCTATCTAAGTACATTGTAATGAGTGTCCTTATATCCATTCGATCCATCGTTGTTATCCTGGTAGGTGGTATGTCGGTATACAATGTCGACCTGTATACTGGCTACAGCCTACCGGTATACAATATGGTCACGTGTAGTGCCGGGTTGAGTGGTTCGGAGGTTCCTGTAAAATCAAGTACGTGGAGGTACATATATTAGGAATGGCTCACCGTGCCCCAAACAATAGCCTCAAGGAACTTCCACTTGAAAAGTGTCATTCATTTGCGACCCACGCGGATAGAGCCAACAACAGCATACAAGATGGGCCTTAACGAATCCAGCATATTGCTTGAACCTCTGGATTTTAACATGGCGTCGGAAATTTGCTTCGGTTCTGTGCGTACAAATTCAACGATTTGGTTCCTCTTTCAATGGCTTTCTTTCTAATAATCTCATCGTTCAGCTTGTATAAGTAGAGACCGATCGTCTGGAGTTTCCGACGAGGACAAATACAGCGACCACTGCGGAGATGTCAAGGGGAGAAGCAATATATATATAATATGACCGTTGTCATGACCGACCAGCAGCGCGCGTTCTACACTCTTCCCCTCCATTCAATGCCCAGGGACCAAATGCACTTCACATCGACCTGCATATTGGTTTTATCTCACAATACTATACAGTCGGTGGTCAGTGTCTGATATTACATATGAGCGAATGACTTCGCTTTGTTGTAGTTCAGAGTGATATGAATCTATACGAGACACGTGATCACATAGTGGCTTGGCCAGATCACCAACTCTTCAGCCCCTGAAGGCTTCACCTATTAGTAGATATGAAGAAGCAGTCAAGATAGTTGATATAGTCGTCCATAGAATTGAGATCTATCGGAATGGCATCCGGTCCTCAGTAGGCTACGTATGTGTAGCTGATACAGCATCATCCTGCCCATCTTTCCCCTGAGATCACAACACAGAGGAAGGCTGATCGTTCTTATTCACATCTGAAAACCTGAGGGCTTATATACAAGATGGATATCAGATTGGTTGCCAATCAATCTGATTGTATCCGGAATAGATCCCGTATACGAAGCTCTATTGTTTATTTGGTCGAGCCTCGATTCACAACGAAAATCAAGTGTTCATGTTGGACGGTCCCCCTCGAAGGGAGCCAAGGTGGGCAAGAAACGGTTTTCGACACAAGTATTATGTTCGTGAAGAGCAGGCTCTCTGTTGCACCGAATCACTCGCTCTATACGGGCAACCCTCTAGGTAAGAATATACGCTCCACGGGGAAGGAAGAGGGTCTCTGCGTAGAGCTAAAACAACGAGAGCATTGCAACACAGTGCACAATGCCCAGACTATACGACCTTAGTCAGCTCCCCTGGTGATAAAACCTTGCCCTTTTCTGCGCTGGTGAAGTCACTTCCGAGTAATGTAGTGGGTCACAAATTATTGGTGATCTAGCTGACCTTTGGTGGTTGACGTAAATCAACGCGGCGAAGTTCACTGTTGCCGACGATCTAGGCTTTTTTCCCGGGGAATGTAGAACTACGTTCAGATATATGGTGTACAGCGGTCTATTGACGCTTATTGGGAGGCGACCACGGTCGACAGGCCGTCTTGGTCGAGGGCAGACAGCCTGGTGTATGTCGTTTGATGTGGCAGGACTTGTGCATTCGATCTTATTACAGGAGCCTTAAGTACATAACAAAATCCTTCCATGCGTCAGCCACAATAGTGGGGCATTCGAAGTAAATGCCCAAAGACTCGGACCAGGCCTCCACATTGCACGGCTGCGTTCGGTCCACTTGGCTGCAGCTAATGTGTCCTTGTAGGACGGAAGTGCTCGTAATGTCACACTCGATGCTGCTGCCGGGTTTCTGTTTCTACCCTGCCGGCGTTGTGCGTTTCCTCCCTCCTTAGAGCCAGTAGTGGCAACAACAATGCTTGGGCAGCGCCACACGAGGCTGTTTGAAACCATAAAGTTGATGACGGACCTGGCATGTAAGGGCGATTCAGCCTATTTCGCATATATGAAGAGGACCAAGCTCATCTAGCCATCTGAAGTTAACTGATGTCGGTTATTTAGTGACGCAGCCACTCACCATAAGTCAACTGCAAGCGCAGAAACTATTTACCGGACAAATTTAACTTCGTGTATAATCACGATACCTGACTTCTCTCCGCTGCAGCTACGCCATCGATGTGACAAAGTCGCCACCGGCTGCCCCTCAATTTTCTGAAAGACATACACCCTCGATATGGATTTGGAAAGACATCAAGAGAGCAAGGAGAGCAAACCTGAGGTAGTATGGAATCGGACTCCTTAACCATTAGAGATGTCTGCCTGACTGAACATAATAGTGTTGGAACATACGGTCGTCCTGCGCCGCATGCCCTATTGGTTCGATCTCGCTTAGTCATCATTTAGTAAGCTACTTATTTAGATAATTTGGCCGTTCCGGGTCCGTTTCCGGCCACCCAATAGAACAAGCATACACTCACTTCCACAAATAGACCTTGTCACGTGAAGTCAGGCAGGCCTTTGGCCGCTACGGGAGAGTGCCGCGCAGAGGAGGCCTTCTTGGGCATCATCCTAGAGTATATTTCGCTTGGGCCATACGTAAGTCACTTGCTGATTGATAAGTTGCGTAGAAATATTTTGATTCCGGCGATTTCGCGGTCTCCGCGGCAGACAGAATGAAAGAAAATAGCCCTGTCCAAACCGGAAAATCTCATCCACTTCGGGAAACCGTTTCGCATCCTTTTTCGCGGGTTCCCTCTACTGGCAATGTTAGTGCAGATGCCAACGAGGCTGCGCATATGGAAAAGAAGCAGTCAAGCTCGAAGATGGTGCAGAGCCATCTCCATAATGAGATCGATGATAGGGATCTGAAGGCTGGAAAATGCGAGAGATCAACCGAATTCAACGAGGATCGAAACTTGTGATCAAACTCAGGGGCGCGCAAATTGTTTATAGCCTTAAAATTACCTGACCCAGTAGTACGGAACATGATGAGACTCCAATTTACATATAGTTCCGGTCAAATAATATCGGCAATCTTTTGTACACCAAGATAGTGGTCATAAATGAACGGGTGGGATGGTTTGAATCTCCTAACTAGTTGCTCATCTTGAGCTGGCTTAACACACAACAGTCTGATAATGATCGCCGAGATGATGGCTGAATATTCCAGCACACAATCAGTTCGGTATTTGTTCTCGGAATATTGGCTGACTGTTTGGTACAGGTTATCGGGAACATTGATTGACACATACTATTTCTATCTTATTAGCATACTTGCGAATTTGTAGGCCCCGTCAGACCCTTTATGCACCAACTTAAACTGGTTGTAACATTGTAACTGGGCTGATCACGTCAATAAGGTGTGAACTTCAAAGAATTACGGTCGTTGTTGTACTACCCGTGGATCCATATTTTGGGAATATCTCAAGTATACAGGATAGATAACCAATCCAACAGACAAACGTGCATTGGAAAAAGTAGTACCATTAGATGTAGCAGATTCAGGTTGTTTTGGAATGGAAAGGAGATATAACATATTGAAGAAGGTGTGGAAATTATACAGAAAATAAATGATACATAGGAAACACCGAGTGAGTTCGGAACTTGTATGTCTACCTGCCTCCACACAGGCAGCTTTTCAGTTGCCGAGTGCCTCATTCACAGGAGCCAAGGCGGTTCCCGCGATATCGTTCAACACCCCGCCAAGGATAGTGTTAACCGCTCCTTTCCCTCCACTTTACTGTTGGCCGCCGCCAGAAGGGGTTCTCAGATCCCTTATAGACACAGTTCAACACGCAGTGTGGCAACGGAGCATTATCCCCACTTCGACTTAGCAAGAGTATCATCCTAGTATCATCGGAGAACAATCTATACAGAGGAAAAGATCTATACTGTCAATTGGGATTGCGGTCCTGACAAAGTGGCACTGATGACGATCGCAGACAAGATGGAAGGTCGCATGTTGAAGGTTTTTCTTCATAAGACACTTAAAGAAGGACTAGTAGCTAGGCGTCGAAGGTTGCGCTGGATTACTGGCCCTGTCCATAGCTAAAAGGTGAAAATAATAGAATATATAACTTGCCCGCAGTCCCGGAGACTAACGTGACCAGCAGAGGATAGCTGTAGTCCACGTATAGTGGGTGACTACCCTACAAGCGACATATATATGACGTGTGGTCATTTACAGAGAAATTCGGTGACTCTGAATCACCGATTGCTCAGGATTCGCCAAGAACGCGGGAGAGATCCTCCATGACAACGCGTCCAAATTCCAGGCATTTTATTGGCCAGGTGAGTTCCTTGGAATGGTGAGCCAGCCAATCTGAAGAGCTGTCGTAATGCAGATGATCCAACAATATTCAAATGCAGACAAGTCCAGCAACTTTAACTTCTAAATTTTGTGGTTGAACCTCTTCCAGAACTTGCCTTCCATACTTATTTACGGTGGATTTCCGGAATGAGTAACCAAACAGGAATATGGGTGTGTAAATTGTATAGTGTAGACTTCAGTACTGAGTATCTTTGTATTATATAAGCTAGAGTGGAACAGTTGCCAGATAGTTATTTAAAAGAAGATTATATAAATAAAGCTGATTTGTGAGTTCACTTTATTAGAAGCAGAGACTATATATACTCTTAATATAGATAGCCCTATTGCCGTATCAATAGAGCGGCTTATTAGCAGGGAGATAGTATACAGCTAATTATAGATATACTATATGCTCTACCTGGCCCTGAATAGAGTATTTTAAGTATCTGAAGCTTAATCTTCTTGGAATCCTTGCTTCTGTTTCTATAGCTTCTACTACTTCTGTATATCCTATCGCTTCTGGTCCGCGCTCAGCAGTGCCCTTGCTATATATGGATAATTGATTATATCACTGGGTCCAGCTATAGCACTCTTGTACCACTATGGATTGTGTAATCTTGATCGCCCCCAACAAGATAGGGGATAGCTGTCAGGACCCTGGTATCCCGTCTTCAAGACACTCTCTACCGGAGCCTGAACAAGAAGAAACCCCAGCAGAAGATAAAGAACAAAACCCTAATCAGCAGGTCTTCTACACTCAGGAGCCTCCAAGTTTAACAAATAATCGTCTACGACATTTGCCCCTCGGGGCCACCATCCTTCAAGATTCATCTCCTCGACCAACCGAAATCGCTTGAGAAGCAAATCACGATATGCATATTGATTCAGTTCGCTTTACCCGAGCAGTCGGCGTTCGGACGAAAGTGCCCCTAATTTGGGTCTCTGTTCTTTGGGGATCAAAGCCCACGAATGGGAGCCGATGCGGCGGAGATAGGACAAGCTTGGTGGCTTTCCGTATACAATGTCATTAGGGTGTTCTTCTGCAGAAACAATGCTGATGCTCGCAATTTGAGATAGACAAACAGTGTCAAGAATCTCGGTCCAAAAGGAAGGAAAAGTTTTGTATCAAACAGGAAGGTATTGATCCGCTCTGCTAGGCTGTTCTGACCTTTGCAGTACGGAGCGGATGTGCCAAACTCCAAGCCCTGGGTCTCGTGGTAGCCGCCAATGGCCGAATATGTCTTCTGTTGTCGCAGAGAAAACGCTTAATCTAGGTCCTATATTATCGGCGTACAGTACAGAGATGAGATCAAGCATCAACTACCATGTTTTGATGCCGTTGCTCCAGATCTCGGCTCAGGGTGACCCTCCCCGGTATCCTTCCAGATCCTCACCATGGTCTTGCCCGTGGGCGCCAATATCTGTGGGAGCAATATAACCCTTTAACTACTTGGGAAGACGGCCCGCTCATTCTCCCTAGAGGAATCAGAGTGATATCTAGGGTTATTCATAACCTTCTTATGATATTGTTTTCCTTCTACAATAAAAAAAGTGCCCTTATTCATGTCTAATTTAAATTATTGAGGATTCTCATATAGGATATTGATATTGTGACAAACTGGATATTGTAGACAATATTTTATCTTTATAAGGATATTAAGGATCTCTTTAAAAGGCTTTGATATAAGTAATTTCAGTGAACTGAAAAGTGTTAAAGCCACCTCCTTAGATCAGGAGACAGTAGTTATCCCTGATACTTGGTAGGAGACTCTGCAGCCAAGTAATATAATTGCTTCCACTCTTTCTGTAATCTAACAGGAAAGTATTTTGTAATTGTTTCCCTTAAGATCTTTCCAATGGTTGCTGTATTTATCCTTAATAGAAACTCCAGATAATCGGTCTCTATTTACAAGAAGCTGAAGAATGAGAGTATTAGAGAGAAAGCTATAAGAAAAGAGGAACTAAATTATTGACTTTGTATATACAGAACTAAAGCAGATTTCTGATACTAATTTAAAATCTAGAGGCACAAGTAATATAGGCTCCTCAGGGCCTATTTTATATGCTATTGCTGGATTCTATCCGCATAGGTTGCAAATGAATGGCACTTTTCAGATAGAATTTTCCTTGGGACTATTGCCTGGGGAATAGTGAGACCGGCCCTAATATATGCCAGATCTCCTGGTGTTCAGACTAATTTGGTGCTACTAAGACTATATATATATAGTCTTCTCAGTTTTACATTCTCCAGTCAGATCGTGTGAACAGAAGGCGAATTCACCAGCACACAGTTTCCAGAATACTGAGTTTCCAGAATTATGCCTCAAGGCTTGCTCGCGAGAATGCTGTGCCACTATCTAGATTTTCTTGTGCTCCCAGGAACCTGTCCGAGGCTCTAGAGAACTATTTTTCATGTCCTGAGAAAAATACTTGAGGTCCAAGGAGGCCAAAAGAGCCCGTGATCGGTCTGCTTGTCTATAAGAGTAACTAAGGCTAAACTAATGATTACTATACTTAAGACTTTCTTATTTACCTGCTACTTGTCCTGCTTATTGTCTGTATAGTTCGCTCATAAGACTTGTTAAATTATATATAAACATAACCTGCTAGATATATACATTTCCTTACTCTTGTAGTTACTGTTATTGGAAGTATATTGAATAGAATTATCTGGCCAGTATAGTCAGTGCCATGATTCAGAACATATATATTATAAAATCTATTTATAACCAGAATATAGATTAATAAGAATATAAAACTCAAAAGATTTATTGACAGACCGCTGAATAATAATCTATATCAAAATATGGAGAATAATAGAGAAGGCGTATATATGTCTGCATGGATCAATAGCCACCTAATGCTTGACTGTCAGAGGATGAAGAGTGCCTGATTGACGTGGCTAATGCTGCATGGATAGCAGACTGACTCTCCGATACGAAGTTTAACCCCATCCAGGGAGTAGGTACCTTACCTTCATCGAGCAAATTGAGCTTTCTCACTGCCTTGAATAGATGATAAGGCAACACTACTGTATAATACTAGTTGGTCTTTAGCCTCTTCTGCTTGGATTGCATGCATGCACACCACGTCTATGACCTCAACAGTGAGGGCAGGCCGCCGCTAGAAATTAGGGAAGCTGATCCCAACCAACATAGTATATATAGTGGACCCTGTGCGGAACAGAATTTCAGTACAGAAAGCTGAACGCGGGCAAGATCAATAGCCATTGCCTAACTGGCCCTAGCCAGTCAGATATAACTTAAATAGCCTGGTTGGCATTAAAACAAGCAAAATATAGATAGGCAGTTATATTATTAGATATCCAGGATTTACTTGAGAGCGGCATATCTTACTATTTTATATTATATAGTCCAGTAGATTAACAAGAGTCCTCACTGTCTTGTTAATTTATAATATACAGGTTTGTACAAGGTGTAGATATCTCTTAAAAGACATAACATGTCTGGTAACTATAGTGTAGTATATTAAAGCAGACTAGGAAACCCACTTATAATAGTATTATATAAGTTAATACCATTATCTTACTAAAAGTGTATGACTCTATATATACTGTACTGCAAGAAGTGTTCAGAAGACACAGCTATCTTAATATCCTACTTCTAATATACAAGCTACTTGCCTGTCATATTTCTACTTATATGGGATATCAACTTAATCTGACAACTTCTATAGCTCTTGGAAAGAATGCCGTGATAGATATAGCCACCCATATACCCCTCCATACTTATATATCCAACCAGAAAAGAAAGGCCGCGGACTGTTAAGCTTCCCGGTACTGTTTATCCCAAAATACCTGTAAACAGGCTTTGTAAGCTTTTCACTGCTCATGAAAAGTATTACAGAGGAATAGGTCTTGAATATAGGATTTATGAGTTAGATACCACTTGGGAATAATTTCTATTACTCCGTAATATACTATATATTATAGAAACTATTAAGACTGTCCCCCCTTATTTCAAGCCTTGCATACAAGATATCTATATACAGGCTAGAAGTTCACTGGGTATTAGTATAGGAGTTTTAGTAATAATAGTAAATTTCAAGTCAAAATGACCACCAGTTGCCTGAGAGTGGGTTCAAGAGTCACGGATCAAGCGCCAGCCTAATTAACTAGGACTCTACATTTACACGAACACGTCTGGACTGTACAGGAGACCCAGATTAGGACTATCTTGGGCCCTGAAGCTCTTGGTAAAACACAAGCTACAGAAGATGCATACTGCTTTTTTGTGTCTGTTGATTATATAACCCCCGATTGCGACATAGTACGCATAGTACTCCGGAAGCACATGGAATGGAACGCAATATGGAGCATGTAATAGAAACCTCTATAGGCCCTCTCAGTCATTAGGCATTAGAACATGAACCTATTGCTTATATACAATAACAGGGGAGGGCTTTAACTTATATGCCTTCCTATTCACCGCTTGGCCTTCAGTGGTATTAGCAGGAGTACATTAGCAATTTCAGCTGTTGCTACCCTGAATCTGGATAATATATTAAGTGTTTATATCTTCATGTCATGCACAATTATATCCTCTATTATGTTCTACACAGTTCTAATCAGCTCTGACAGTTGGGATAGGTTCAACACACACTATACTAAGACCTCTTATTGGCTATTTCTGTAGGGGTAGAAAGTATTGCTTACCTTCCTGTCTTTTGGGCGCTGTCGGGTCTCTGCTTCTAGCCTGTGTATGGATTATATACCAACTTTCTGAAATACTCTGGTAGCTCTTATAGAGGTCTCCTGGGCAGTACAATATATGCCGAAGCATTAGGTAAGTGTTATAGTGGTCAGATAAGGAAACAGTAGAAAAGGAATACAGGCACAATTGCTACCAGTAATCTCAAGAAGGCTCATAGTTCACCCTGGAGAAGTGGTATATATAAGATTCTCTAGGAAAACCTAAATAGTGCATGTCTGTATATTACTGTTAGACATAACAAGCCTGCGCATGAATTTTGCCAATTAATCAGTATTAATGATAATAAAGAGGACATACACTTCATTTAAGTGTCAAGACACAGCTCCTGACTTGAGATTCATAAATATACTAGGCGTGTCACTCTTGTCATAATCTTTGAAACCTATAATTATAAACAAAGCGAATGAAATGAAAATCTGTTATGTCCACTCTAATTATATTTACCTAGCGCAACAAGTAAACGAGGCTCGTCCAATAAACAAGTAGGCCATAATCTGTTACTGGAGATATAGAATATACAGATCTGTTTTCAATATATTCCTAGAGAAATTTCTTTACTCTTTCGACGGTCTGATTAATGAACAAATTGGAAGTAATCAAGCACCCTTTAGTTAAGAGTATATAACTGAGATTACCAGATAGGAGACTATTTACAAGCTTAAATAGTCTCAAGGTATAGTCTTCTATTTCATGATATTACTGAATAAATATAGCCAGTGAGTCTCTAAGAGCATTTAAGATTCTGGAGACCTATAAGGACCTCCAGAGTCAGTTTAGGCTTCCTAAGATCTATAACTTCTCTCTACTACTATATATAAGCTATGATATCATGTCAGTGACTTCTATATTAGCTTTAGTATACGCCTACATACACATGTATAATATATCAACTATCACACCAGCTATGCCTACATGTTGCTGGGGCATTGTCCTGTATTTAGGCCAATACTTCAGACAACAAAGAATAGAGCTTTATCTAAGAGATTTATACAGATTAGGACAAATATAAGTCTATACTGTAGATAATAAATCCCCCAGGCTATAACTGTCACAACCAATTAACACAATGTCCTATTTTTCGAATCTTATTGACTCACTTGGTAATATTAATCTTCAGTGTTATATATTTTGGTGGGGAAAGATTAGGATGTCATTCTACCCGTTAGGTATTCAATATAAAGATTATAGAAGGTGTCAAGTAGACTAGCGCTGTTAGGTATTCTGAGGATCCCTTGACTCTTGAGATATCCAGGGCTGTTCCCATGAACATCTACTCTTGTGCTGTCTTTTGACTGAGAAAGCCCAAAATATCTTGTCATGTTGGCGCAGCGCGAGCAACTACAGTAGACTCCTACTAAGGGAAATAGGCCGCGGGCATCAGAAGGAATAGGAGCTTGGCCTATTTGTCTCTCTCTTGATGGTAGTGCCGGTCTTTGAGGGAGTGTGGCGGGCAAAGTAGACTGCGAGTGGAGAAACGGGCAAGGGGGTAAAATATTAGTTGGGGTACAGTTTATTGAGGTAACTTGCTCAGCGCGCTCAGCCTTCTGCTCATCCCGTGCTCAGTGATCGCCTCGGGCTGCTCAGAGCGTGCTCAGATCTACTCAGTGAGGAAAAGGCAGCGAAGGGTGAACACTAAAACAGAAAGGGAAGGCCATCAACCGTCCTAGAAAATCAAATACATATGCCGGCATTATCAGTATACCTATATATTTATGTCACGAGACTGTAGGAAATCCATATACAATACATACATTACCGGTAGAGCTTCGTAGCCTTCCCAAGACGGGGGCAAGGTAACTCTCAGTCTCTCTCTTCCTCACTCCTCTACTCCACGAGTCTAACGTATCGCCATGGGTATGATCAGTGTCTATTCTCGACATTGATTTTGGATCTACATAGTTTTGGTGGATTAAAGCTCCGCTGGATGCGGGTGTGGGGCAAAACCCCCGCCTTTTTTCAACCACCACCTCATTCCTTGCTCCTGACACTTGTATCGATCGATCATCCTCGAAGAGAAAAAGCAAAAGAAAATGTGGAAATCCAACAGAACTCCCGTTCGTACGGAGGATGCCCCTCCGCCTCCGTCCTTCCTCTCCCAAGCCGTCGTTGCCGGCAACGTGGTCTACTGCTCTGGACAAGTTGGCGTGAATGCCAGCACGGGAAAGATGGTGGACGGACCCATACAGGAACGAACGGTCGGTGCTCTTATCCAATCACTGAACAGAGAGGAAAAGAGAGGGGGGGGGGGGAGAGAAGAGCTTGACTGATGGATCTCAGAAACAAATCCTCCGAAACCTGAGTGCCGTCCTCGCCGCGGGGGGATCGAGCCTCCAGGATGTGGTGAAGGTGAATATCTACTTGGCCGACATGGGGGACTTTGGGGCGGTCAATGAGGTGTATGCCTCTGTCTTCCCGGATCCTAAACCGGTGAGTTTCTCAATCGCTCGATTCTGTCGCATCTCCGACTGACTCTCCTTTCCGACCTAGGCCCGGACATGTGTGGCGGTCAAGTCTTTGCCCTTGGGGACAGATGTGGAGATTGAGTGCACGGGGCTTGTGACTAAGAGGAATTCTCGCTTGTAACTAGAAAGTAAGTAGTACCTGAAGTAGATTTCGAACTTGAATAGTATTGTTTCTCTCTTTCCATGAAGGTTCATGCGAGAGTAAGTACTAAGTTCATTGACCACCATTGATTATTATTATCATAATTATTACTATTAATACTACTGAGTGCCACTCTTGTCCTGTACGGTTCAGACAAATGGAAAATGGCACTGTCACCTTAAATTTTTGTTTTTATTTTTTATTTTTTATTTTTTTTTGTTTTTGTCTCTTTCTTCTTATTTTGTGTCCACCTGTCGCAGTCAATGGCTTACCTACTGTGAAAGTGGAACTGGAACTGATTAGCTGAAATGGGAGCCAAAAGATGAGACTGGATAGTGGGGCATTCGTCAGGAACAGGACTAGCGCCCTCGTTCCATTGGGCCTGGAAATTGGCAGTTATGAATGAGTAAAAGTACAGTACTGGTAATTATCTGCGACTAAGTATGTACTTCCAACTATTGGAAAATGGGAACTCAAAATAGGAACGAACTATTAAAAAGTAGGTTCATCAATCCTAGAATAAGACACTCGATGATCCGAGTTCTTTCCCTGATCAGCAACGCATTGACTTCTCTCTAACGTTGATCCGGACTCAAAAACGAGCGAGCGAGCGAGAGAGAGAGAGTGTGTGTGAGGGAATGTAACATACATTCCTCCGAAGGACGTCTGGGCGGAAATACCCCCAGCCTTCCTTTCCTTTTACTGGAGACAGTCGGAATAGGGGAACACTTGGTTTCAGCCTTGACGTTGGTGGATTGTAGCATTCCGACTGGCTCGCTTGTTACATTCCGGGTATGTTAGGGATGCATGAAGATACCAACTGCAGTAAGAAAGAGGGAAAATGGAAAAAATAAAAAAAAAAGGTAACCATTCAAGTCTACCTTGGCCTTATCACAGGCTCCAAAGAGACTTAGCTGGGGGGTCTTCTGTAATAATAGAAACACCCGGTAGATGAGAAAAAAGTGGGAGTAGGAAAAGTGGAGAGATCCAGTCCAGGTGCAAAATAATTCCACCCAAAAAAAGAAAAAAAAAAGGGGGGGGGAGCTGTCAGTGTGTCGGACTTTTCTTTCCAACTGAAGGAATCGTTGCGATTGATCCTGAGATGACTGTGTGTGAATGTAAAATACAGCACAAGCACATCCATCCATCTAACTTGTCAACTATCCTTTGTTCAAACAGAAAGAAAGAAAGGAAGGAAGGAAGGAAGGAAGAAAAGAAGAAAAGAAGAATTAACCAGTGTTCTCCATCCTGGTCAATTCCAGCGGTTAGAGAGATTACGAGTCGCCCACTACTACATACTAGTAGATAACTCTTTTGGGCTGATGATCTCTTTGTCCCGGTCAAATGATGATCTCGGTAATCGCCACGCACCGGGCGGAAAGGAAACCCCACAGTCAATCCAGGAACACCTCGCGCTAAACGGTCTAGCCCTGGAAATGGTCCGAAAAAGAACAACAGCACGGGAATTACGATGAGCGCCTTGATCAGCAGGCATCCCATTCCCCTCTTTCCTTTTCTTTCCTCTCTTTTCTCTCTATACCGCACTGCACTGCACTGTACTATACGGTGTATCTGTCCGACTGTGTGCTACTGTCTGTACTGATATGTACCACCCTATTTTCTTGCACGGTTTCTTTTTCTTTTCTTTCTTTTTCCTTCTCAAGTAACCTCCCCCCCCCTGAAAAAAAGGAAAAGAAAAAGAAGAAAAAAGGAAGAGGAAAATATCTAAGCCAAGTGCAGAGTTGAGGAGATTAGCCAAGAACTCGCCAAGGTTGTGTTGGATGATAGATAGAAAGGGGGTTAGTTACTAGACAGTACTAATGGTTAGTTAGTTGGCTGCAAGTCCCCAAAGTTAATTTACTTGTCAAGATTGATTGATTGCATGAAGGTTGAATGTCATGTCACCATGTCATATTGTAACTTCCTTCCGTCCGATGAACATGGAAGTAAGTTGACAAGACACTTTCCCTGTGCTCTTCTCTGTATGCATGACTAGTTAGACGGTAGACTACCTTACTCATCCAACATCCCAAAACAAAAGGGGGGGGGGGGGGTATGATAGAGTTTCCACTAGTGGTGGTGGTTCAAGTTATGTTCATTACCTGAGGTAAACATTAGTAGTAACTTGTAAGCTTACGGAGTAATCTTTAAGGATCCGCCATCGTCAGACGAATCCAGAGTGGGTCCATCTCCTCCCGTGTCATATTTCCACGTCCCCCTTCACGTACCAACCACCACCTCAACTCACTCGCTCACTCTCACTCTCACTTTCCCTCTCCCTCTCTGGCGCGCTCCCTCCCTCTCTCTCTCTCCAGAGTCCCTTCTCTTCCCTTTGTGTGAATGGCTTGACTTGGTGGTTCATTGGCTTGCACGTTGTTACTTTATTTTTAATTTTTATCTCGATTTTTGGATTTTTATCTCTTTTTTTTTGGGCCCCCTTCCACCTGTCTCCCCTTCGAATGTTTTCGCTCGACTCTTGTTGACGTAGCCTATCTGTGATCTCTCTCTTTGTCAATGTGCCCCTTGGGGATAATTCTTCCATCGCCCGCCATCGTCTCCTTGCATTGACAGACAGGAAATACAGCCGCCCCTCCTCTCTCCTCCCTCCCTCCCTCCCTCGGTCGCACCGCCCGCAAGAATTGTTTGGCCGAGTCGACCAGAACAACCACTGCATCTCCTCACCCACGGTCGTTTCTCCTGTTTGTCTTTTGTTTTTTGACACCGTCGTCCGCTCCTTACTGCGATCTACGTTCGTTACTGGCTTCGTTGTGAAGGGATTTCCGCCTATTACCCCCCTTCCCCTGCCGCTCTTTTCACCCGCGCGCCTTGTTGTTTATCGTCCAGAACCCTATCGTCGAATTGTCCGTACGAATCGGTTCTAGCCTTCGATCGACCCGCTGTCACTGCAGTTACCATCAAGACAGGGTTCTCGCTTGTCTGGGTCAATCTTGTCGTTCAGGAGAGATCGCCCGATTCGTCGGTCGCCGCCCAAGCAACGGACCGACAACGCTGGATTGGTAGGAAGAACCGGTGCGACGCTGCCAATTGTCCCATCTTTCGAGCTTGCACGGGGCCATTCCGCTCCTTGCGAGAAAGAAAAAGAGAAAAGGCCGGCGAAGTCGCCTCCCTACGGTCCCCAGCCACCGAATCTCTATGAAACATTGACGAGTAAGCACGGTATTCGACGCTTGATCTTGACACCTCCCACCTGAGCCGTCGCTCTGTCCGTTCTCTCTATATTTTTACGACCGTTCTCGCAACTGGTAGCCGCTCCTTCCACCCTAGTGATTACATTCTTTCCGCATGCAAGATGGTGGCCCTGACGGCATCGATCCTGACGGCGTTGCTGTCACTTGCCGGTCTTGATCTGGTTGCAGCTCGAGACGCGGTCGAGGACCAAGCTCTGAAGCCTCGTTTCGTGCCCAAACACATGAAGAGACTGATCAATTATCAAACATCGGCTGCGCCGGAAACACCGTCCAAGTCTCATGAACCCGCCGAACTGCCAAGGTCCAACACCAATATCCTAGATTCGATTCTGCAGCCCCCGGGGGAAGCCGCCACAGCGCCGACGGAAACGCCAGCCGTTGTCGTCATCACGCTATCGATTGATGCCGATGGCAAGACGCACACGCTGACCGGAACCCCAACGGGAACCGCCTCCTCCTCCACCGTGACGAGCTCCGTGTTGACCTCGGAGACCGCTGCGGTCAGCGCCCCAGCGTCCACAACGACCGGCTCGCTGACCTCGACCGCATTGCAGTCCCCGACGGAGCAGGCTGTCCCCCCTCCGTCTTCAACGGCGGCCGAGTCACCAAAACCAACCGATGCCGCCATCTCGTCCGACTCTGGGTCCGCATCGGCGTCCCAGCAACCAGCCTCTGAGCAGGGGACCGCCTCTTCGTCGTCAGCGGTGGTCGAGTCGCCAAAATCTACCGATGCCTCAGCCTCGTCCGAGTCGGCAGTCAGCCCTGGGTCTCCGTCGGCATCCCAACCAGCTTCGGCGGCGGAGATCACTCCGTCGTCTTTGAAAGCGGCCGAATCCACGAGTGAAACCCGCCTTTCAACAACCGCCGACGCTCCGTCGGCGACAGCGACGAAAGCCGGTAGCACCCTGAGTGATCTGGTCAGCAGTCTTTTTGGTGGGTCTTCCAGCTCCGCCTCTGCCAGACCTACGGATGGAACGACCGCATTGGCTCCGGGGAGCTCGCAGGCTCCCTCGAACTCGGCAACGGATGCGAGCACCTTCTCGGGCTCGAGCACGGCCGGTGTATCGGAGTCATCTACGAACCAGCCGACATCTAGCGAGGCCATTCCCACTGCCTCGGCAGGTTCCTCTGCCGCTGCTTCTGCTATATCCTCTGCCGTCTCCCCTTCTGCCGCGTCCTCTACTGGATTAGTCAACGGGCTCCTGTCAGACCTCCTTCCTGGCTCGAGCACGGCCAGCGTATCAGAGTCCTCTGCGAACCA